TTTATTATATAAATGTTAGACTACAACCGGTAATGATCTTCAATGTATACTCTACAGCCTTTTATTACACAACCAATATTTCACAATGTATAATTTAAATTATCCTTGATTTCTTCATTTCAGCAGTTTCTTTACCATTTGATCTAATAAGTAGATAAGTAGATTAGATGAAGGAACTGGAGTAGATATATGGAGGAAATCTGGATGAGCTGGAAGAATAAGAACCTCTGGATGAATTGGATGAGTTGAGAAACCTCTGGATGAGCTAGTAGGAGTAGGAGAACCTCTGGATGAGCTGGTAGGAGTAGGAAAACCTCCGGATGAACGGGACGAGTAGGAAAACATCTGTATGGAAGAGTAGGAAAACCTCTGGATGAACTGGATGAGTTGGAAAACCTCTGGATGAGCTGGACGAGTTGGAAAACCTCTGGATGAACGGGAAGAGTAGGAAAACCTCTAAATGAACAGAACGAGTTGTAAAACCTCTGGATGAACAGGAAGAGTTAGTGAACCTCTGCATTAATTGAAAGAATAGGAAAACCTCTGGATGAACTGGATGTGTTGAAAAACCTCCGGATGAACAGGAAAAGTTGGAGAATATCTGGATGAACAGGACGAGTTGGAGAACCTCAGGATGAATTGGACGAGTAGGAAAACCTGTGGATGAACTGGAAGAGTAGAAAAACCTCTGGATGAACTGGACGAGTAGAAAAACCTCTAGATGAACAGGACGAGTTGGAGAACCTCTGGATGAATTGGACGAGTAAGAAACTCTCTGGATGAACTGGACGAGTAGGAAACCCTTTTGATGAAATGAAAAAGAACTAAAAATTGATCAAGACTTTACAAACCTATATAGTATATATAGATTGTGTATATTTTATAGATAAATAATATACTTGTAGAAAGTTGTTCTATGCATAATAGCCGCCTACACGTTTCTGGAGGCGTTACTACAGAAGTCATAATAATATGCTAACGAATCAGTTTCAATTTCTCAATATTCTAACAGTTTCTTTTTCTTTTTCTTTTAAAGTTTCATTTCAGTTTCATTTCAATTATTCAATTTTGACTTCGTATACATCATCAGCTGGAGTTCTTGCATCGATTTAATTTGCTCTTTCATTTCATTTATAATCTTTCATTCCTAGTTCACATTATTTTATCTCTCATAATTTGCAATATTCCTTTCATGAAAAGGATTCTTCAGCAATTTAAATCAATATTGCTTAATTTATGGTAATAAGTGGTTTTCATAGGTCTTCATAAACCATCTTATAAGATAAATTAGTTTTATTGTGTATAGTGTACTATTTAAAAAAAACCATTAGTAATCGTGAAAGAACGTATCATTTTGGTCCTTAGGCAGGGGCGGATACAGGGGGGGGGGCGGGGGGACATTTTCAGAATAGCTTCTCAATAGCATGCTTAAGGGAAAGAAACCCTAGTGCAAAACAGGAAAAATATCTGTCTTAATAAACTATAATGTGTGAAAAGTTAAAAATCTGGTTTTTTAGTTTTTAGTCATTAATTTTGACTCTTTTTGAGTCTTTTACGTCAAAAAAATTTTCGCCTGCAGCGCGATTTTTTGTTCCTAATTATGAATTTTTTTGTTCCTAAAATATCTTGCCCCCCCCCCTCACTTAAATCCTGTATCCGCCCCTGTCCTTAGGGCCATCTTTGAGTTGTTAGATATGGCTTTGTTATGTTTCTTACTTTAAAAATTACGGTATTTTGTTTATTTAAAAAATGTCAATACAATTCTTGTTTAGTGCTATTCAGAATTGTCGGATTGAGTATAAACATAAATGGCGAGACCGTGGGTCAATTTTTAAGAAGAAATACCAATTAATTAGTTGTAGGATACTTGTATAGTAAACTGGAGCTGAAAGTAAAAATCATCAACCAAAAAACCTCTTGTGGACTATATACTGTCCAATAGAATGACCGTTGTTGTACACACAACCAATTAAATTAATTATATTTTCTCGGTATGCTTTGAGGACGGTATAAATTACAGAATAATGAAGATGACAACGAAAATTCAAATATAAAATTGAAAAGAATGGATCTCTGGATGTAAAACCGTTTCCTGGTCTCAAATACGTAGGCCTTCACAGCATAGTTATCCTGAACATCTTTGTCAGATATTTCAAAGCATGGTCGCATAAATTACTAGGAAACTCGTTCAGAAGCGATATTTTAAAGGGACTGTACACGTAATTTCAAGTGACCCTTAATTTATAAAGTGGCATTTACGATTCACAACGGTTCCCTTCAAAGCTTTATCCAATCAATGATGAATAATAATCCTTATTTTTCGAGCTAAAAATATTTTTTTTTCGAATGTGGTTAATGTAACGATCTCTTGCACATTTATGCTTCAAGGAAATAAAGGAAATTTACAGAATTCAACATGTGTGAATCGGACATGCCACTCTGTGTCTGTAGTGTCACTTTAAAATTACATCTCTTGTCCCTTTAACATGACTAAGAATGATGATGTTCTATAATGCAGGGTAAAACTTCATATAATGACTCCCTTTGAGCGTAATCCTGTACTTTAGTTATATATGGATACAGGTTGGTATCCTACAGATATATATCCTGTACTTTGGTTATATATGGATATAGGTTTGTATTGTATCCTACAGATATATATTCTGTACTTTGGTTATATATATACAGGTTGGTATCCTTATAATAATACTTCTAATCATTTGAGGAAGGGAGAACCCCATATACATGATACAATAGGGGGCAATTATGTACCTTGGAACAACTCAATATAGACTAATATACAGGCAAGGCTTAGTTGCACACTTATATATTATTGTACAATTCATACAAATGTACAGGTTTACACACAAGGATGAGATTTCAGAAATAATTGCACGGAATTTACTTATCAATTTTTTATTTTATTCTTGGTTCCAGTACAACTAAAATTGTTTCTTTCTTTGCCAAGCCATTAAAGGAATGGATACAAGGATGGGAATGGATACAAGGATAGGAATGGATACATGGAGAGGAATGGATACAAGGAGAGGAATAGATACAAGGATAAGAATGGATACAAGGATAGGAATGGATACAAGGATAGGAATGGATACAAGAAGAGGAATGGATACAAGAAGAGGAATGGATACAAGGATAGGAATGGATACAAGGATAGGAATGGATACAAGGATAGGAATGGATACATGGAGAGGAATGTATAAAAGGAGAGGAATGAATACAAGGAGAGGAATGGATGCAAGAGGAGGAATGGATACAAGGAGAGGAATGGATACAAAGATAGGAATGGATACAAGGAGAGAAATGGATACAAGGAGAGGAATGGAAACAAGGAGAGGAATGGATACAAGGAGAGGAATGGATACAAGGAGAGGAATGGATACAATGGTAATAATGAATACATTTTGAAAATAAATGAATAACAGGAGGGAAATTAACAATGAGAGGACCTGACCTAACCTAACCTTGAAATTAATACAATGAGAGGACCTGACCTAACCTAACCTTGAAATTAATACAATGAGAGGACCTGACCTAACCTAACCTTGAAATTGATACAATGAGAGGACCTGACCTAACCTAACCTTGAAATTGATACAATGAGAGGACCTGACCTAACCTAACCTTGAAATTGATACAATGAGAGGACCTGACCTAACCTAACCTTGAAATTGATACAATGAGAGGACCTGACCTAACCTAACCTTGAAATTGATACAATGAGAGGACCTGACCTAACCTAACCTTGAAATTGATACAATGAGAGGACCTGACCTAACCTAACCTTGAAATTGATACAATGAGAGGACCTGACCTAACCTAACCTTGAAATTGATACAATGAGAGGACCTGACCTAACCTAACCTTGAAATTGATACAATGAGAGGACCTGACCTAACCTAACCTTGAAATTGATACAATGAGAGGACCTGACCTAACCTAACCTTGAAATTGATACAATGAGAGGACCTGACCTAACCTAACCTTGAAATTGATACAATGAGAGGACCTGACCTAACCTAACCTTGAAATTGATACAATGAGAGGACCTGACCTAACCTAACCTTGAAATTAATACAATGAGAGGACCTGACCTAACCTAACCTTGAAATTGATATAATGAGAGGACCTGACCTAACCTAACCCTATAATGATACAATGAGAGGACCTGACCTAACCTAACCTTGAAATTTAGGTCATGTATAAAATTAATAGGACCCGGGGGGGGGGGTCCAAAAATTGTATACTAGGACGGAACCAAAAATAGTTTAAATGAGCCCAAAAAAAAATAGTTCAAATGAGCTAAAAAACAGTTGCTCATTTGAACTATATTTTTGATTCAATTGAATATATTTTTTTGTCTCATTTGAACTATTTTTTTGCTTATTTGAATTGAACAGTTTTCTTGATCATTTGAACTATTGGGTCCATCCTAATATACAATTTTTGGATCCCCCCCCCCCTACAATCAATTTCGTACATGACCTAAATTTCAACTATTTTCAACAAAATTTTTATTATTAATCATTTCAACTATTTTTTGCTTATTTGAACTATTTTTTGGTTCAAAACATATATTTTTTTTTGCTTATTTGAAAGCATTTGGTTTGAACGATTAATTGTTTTGCTCATTTGAACTACTTTTTTTCTCATTTGAACTATTTGCTTAATTTGAACTATAATTTGGTCCTTTGAATATGTCCATATGAGTTGTGAAATATCATGATCATCTAAACTATTTTGTAATGATTGTTTGACCTATCTTTTTCATGAAATATAAAAATTTTATGCTGCATGTTTAATAGTTCAAATGAGTAAAAACTGTGTTATTCAAACAGCAGTAGTTAAAATGCTGATCCACCAAAAAGATTATTTTGTTGAATGTTGATTGGTTGATTGCAAAATCAAAGACGACTTTTTTATAAATAGAAAGTGTACAGTTACAACTCACACAGTATATTTCTGACGCAACTCTCCAACTAAACAATATAATAACCTGCGTCAATGATATTATTGAGTATATTAACATGCCAAATGTATAAAAAAAATCTCTAAATCAAAATTGTGAAATGTGTAAAACTGAATTTTCCATTTTTAGAAATTAGAAAGTTTTTGTTAAATTGTGAGAGGAAATCGTATGTCCAAATTTGGAGGAAGAAGGGACTTTGATCCTGAGAGGTAAAAGAAAGTTTATAAATGTAGATAAAAGGTCCGTCCTAGTATACGATTTTTGGACCCCCCGGTCCCTCCCCCCCCCCATTGATAGGAGGTCCTAGATATGTATTTGTAGATAAGTGGGCTCTACGTATAATTTCCCAATACTAGGTTTTTGGCCCTTCTCCTATCAATATTTTACATGTATCTTATATCTAACACAAATGGCCATTGGTTGATGTGTGACTTGTCCTAGTCGCTGTGCTCGACCCACTTGCCTGTCATATAGCCGTTGAAATAGTTAAAACTTAAGGGGGAGTCCGCCCCATGCAAGAGTCTGCTCCTTGCATGACACCGGTCGTAAACTTGATGATTATAAGTTTTTTATATTTGTTATAAGCCTTTTGCTTAAAACTTTAACTTTTTGGGGTTTTATTATTTTTATTTTTAGTTACAAGGGGAGCGAGCAGGGATACAGAGACGATAATTCGTTCCATAGTATAAACAGGCAATCTAGTGTTGTATCCAACTATACAGCATTCTCTAAACCAACCCTCTCACCCCAGGTAATTTAATAAAAAACATTTTTTGTTTTTCACAAAACCTCTCTCCGTTATGTTTTTTATGAGGACAATTTGGAATTGTTGCAATCATAAGTTAGGAAGCATTGGTTTAATATAATTTTCTCCCAATTCTCTTCGGCAAATTAAGGATTAAATTTATCTCTACTTTATCATTATTTCGTTTCATTCTTAGTCTCTGGGATAGCCCCCCCCCACCCATTTGCTATCAACCTTATTCATATGTATTGATAATCTTAATCTTTTCACGCAATCAGATTATGGACGGAACGGTAGAATATTATATTATATTTTTTATTTTAGAATATTTTTTTCTTATTCTTGTTTTTATGAAATGTAAATGCTGTTCGTCTAGCCATGTTCTGTTTTTCTTTTATTCAGAGCTTTCGTTTAGTAATAGTTCGATGTAGGAAGGAGGGGGGGGGGGTTATATATTTTTTAATAATTTATGCAGTTTACAACAATATATTTCCCCGTTAATTAATGAAATATATAAGATATTTAAATATTTAAGAACAGTTTATTGTTCCCGAGAACTCCAATAGTTGTCGAGACAGGATTAAACAGAACAAGGTAATTTGGATAAAATATTAAAGTAAATCTTTTATTATATGTAGATGTTTGCTTCGATCCGTGACTTGAGATAAAAATGGGTTGGATTTTTAAAATTTTTGATTACATCATAAACCAAGGGTTTATATTTTGTTGAAATATCATCCACCACCACTTATTAAGGTTTTGTATCACTATTTTTTTTTTGGGGGGGGGGGGAGTAATATAAAGGTGAAAATTCTTCATTGTGGGATTTGTAATTTTAATTTTTTTAAATCAGATTTGCGGTTTTTTGTAAACTTTATTTCACTCGAATTTCTAAATATCATTCATTTGTTATTTGTTTTCATATCCTGTACTTCTTGTGAACGCCTTTCTAAAAATATTTTTTGGATTTTCTTTATTTCTCTATTTCTGAATAGGATGGGAACTATGGGAGTAGATGAGAGTATATTTCACTGGAAGATATTAAACCTGAGCAGAGCCAAGCTGAAGGCCTCCAGCAGAACTTCGGCCCTGCTCTCCGGGTTCGCCATGGTCGCCATGGTGGAGATACAGATCGATGAAACTATCCCGAGGGTAAGAAATTAGTTCAAGGAATTATTAAAGAGACAGCAGACGTATCTTAAGTGTTCCTTTATATATAGAGTGACATGTCCATTCAGAACAGTGATACCTTTACCCTTTAAACCTTTTAATTGAATATTGATTATTTTTAATTATGGTTTCTCTTAACAAATTACAGATTTATGCTGCAGTAGAGACAATCAAGGAAATTGTTAAATATTTTTCTAAACGCTTCGCAGAAAGGGGTTTAAAGGATACTGTTGTGATGCGGGCATGCCACTTTTAAAAACGGTCATATGAAACTAGTTCTACAGTTTTTATTTTCAATTTATCTAACGTACTCCTTTTAGAAGTTAACTTATTTGATTTTAAATATTTAGAACTTTTAAAACATTCCAAAATTTTATCCCTTTTTCTTTTTCAATAAAATGTACTTTTATGATGTACTTTTGAATACGCTTTTGAATTTATTATTGTTGAAACTAATTCAATAATATTAATTTTGTCAACTGTCTCACTGACTTTTTATTAAAACTCAGGGTTTGTTGATCGCCTTCGCAGTTTGCACAGTTTTATTGATTGCAGTACACATGTTAGCTCTGATGATATCCACCTGTATACTGCCTAATGTAGAGGCTGTATCCAACCTACATGTTCAGGTACTGTTGTATAGCTGTTTTTAGTTGCATTTGCAAACTTTTATCTATATAATAAAACATGACATTCGTATATATATAATGTATATATATGTTGTCTATAGCCGGCCAAACGGCTGGACCGATTGGGCTTAAATTTTTGTGGACACTCATCGGTGGCCGGGGGGTGTCATAGGCAAAAAAAAATCGATTTTAAAAAAAATGTTAGTCCTTAAAATTTTTTCCACGGGCAACGCCAGGCCCTTCAGCTAGTCTTCCATCAAAACTTTTTCAAGAAACAACTGATAAAGATTTCTATTGTTATTTTTCTTAACTCAAGATAGCTGGATAATTCTTTTCAAATATGCCTCGCCCCTCCCCCCCAAGAAATTCTTTTGAAAAATAGCAACCTCTTGTGACTTATGTATCTCTGTTAACCTTACCTAGCCTGGGTCAGAAACACTATGAGAAGATGGAGCCAAATGGTTATGACGAATATTTATTGTATGGAGCTGTTTCGGGCGGACCGACGGTTTCCAGAAATGGAGTTTTAAGGCAGATCGCCTGGCTAAAGTTTTCTCCATAGGGCTTCGTTGCCCATGAATACGTTCGGTGGGCTAGGAGCGCCGACCGTTATTTTATTGAATGCCGAGTTTTTCTTTAATAATAAGAATAATAATAATAGTAATAGTAATAGTAATAATAATAATAATAATAATAATAATTAATAATAACAACAATATATACAATAATAATGTAATCTTATTCTAGACTCCGAATACTGTATTTGAGTCTCCGCACAGGAAGATGTCCAAGATTATAGAACTGTCTTGGGGATTCAGTACTGTACTAGGAATCCTACTCTTTCTAGGTACCCCCCCCCTCTCCAGTAAATCAAAACATTTAATTTTCAATCGCATAGAGAACGTTACAACAAAGAAAAAATGTCATGGGATCAAAATCTTATACTTAAGCCCTATAGCTGCAGAGGAATATCGTAAATTTTTGTAAACGACAAATGATTACCTATAAAATGTCCTGTCTATGTGATGTCATATCTATGAAATGTCCTGTCTATGTGATGTCATATCTATATATGTTACCTATAGCTGGCCAAACGGCTTGACAAAATTGGCTGATTTTTTTTAATAAACGCATCGTCACCCTGGGGGTAACATAGGCTAAAAAAAATTCACCAATTTTTTTCAAAAATCATTTTTTTTAAATCAAACTTTTTTAAAATTCGAATATTTTTTTTAAAATTTCATGTGCGAAGCCGGGCACTTGAGCTAGTGTTGAATATTTATTAATGTTTTAGTTGAGATAGCAATCCTCTGTTGGGTGAAGTTCTATAAGTTTGATGTAGTAGTTGCCTGGGTAGCAACAGCTCTACTTATTCCAATCATTTTCATCTTCATCGCCTTTGCAGCACATTTCTACTTAAAGGTATATCATACAAGATATTAAACAGTGCGGTCGTAGGAATATATGTATATATGTTACCATTTAGAATAATAATATTACATGTAATACAATAATCAGACATCGGTACTTCAGTTCTAACGATATAATAAACATCAAAATCAACAATGAATTCAAAAATTACAAGATAATTAACATTAAAACTTTTAAAAAGGGTGAAGAAGGGAAATGAACCCAGATTATGATATGTAAAATAAAATAATTGGCAAAAACTCACTTGTAAAAGAATGTTTATTAAAAGACAATTATTTTTCCTTGATATTTATGTCTGTCATGAAGATAGAAAACAAACTGCTTTAATGTACGAGAGTGTAAACTATAGAAATTTTATGGAAATCAGTAAATTTTTTCTTCAAAAATAAACAAATCCTCTTTATTTTTTTTTAAATGACTGAATAGAAGTGTAAAAGTTTGCACATTTAAAACCCAGAATATTTTCTGTTTCAAAGCTTCAAAATCATTAATGCCTGAACTAAATACCTGTTGTTTATGTTGTAGTTGGTGTCCCACAAGTCCGAGGTGTATGAGCACAATATGAAGGAGCTGGAGCTGCTGAAGGATCAGCTAGACGAGGGGAACCAGGAACCGGATGGAAACAGTGAAAATGAAATTATCAAAATTGTGTAATTTCTCTCGGTTGAAATTTACAAGATCTGATGAAACGCCATCACATTTTCTTTGAGACAGTAAAACGTTCATTTAAATTCTCCTAAATGACGATTGAGTAAATAATTTTTGCAAAACGAAAAACTTATCTAGGTTTTGATGGAAGTACATGTATGAATCAGAATGTAAATATTTGATGAGATTCAAGAATGGAATATGCGTCGTTTAAACTATTCTAACAATACTAAATCTAATCTTTAATCCAATGCTGATCAGAGAAAATGATGATGGTGCTTCGAAAGATCAGAAACTGGAGTTAAACCGAATGTTTGTTGTCTGTTGTAAAGCCATATTTGAAGAATTCATTCAGTCCAAAGTTCAGCTTTAAATAAGCTCTGAAGTACATTGCTACCATCATTTGTCTTTTATAATTCGAATTATTATTCTTTTTTTATTTTTTTTTTACTTAAATTTTAAACTTATACTATTTTTGGACATTTTTTACATTCAATCCAAGTTCTATAATCGATCGTAATGTTATTTATTGCTAAAATTTAGATTAAACTATTTAAATTTTATTGTGAATACTTATTTTTTTCTTAGAATTGTTGAATGTTGATCTTCATCATCCTTAACCTTTCTTAACTGATTTATCTTTCAAAACGATAAGAAAAAATGTGTTTCTTAAAGCCGGTAATTGCAAAGGGATGGAAAAATCAGAGAAATCAATATTCTTTAAACATTCAAATGTACCAAAAATCATTTTTTCAATGGCATCTATCCACCAGATTTTTAATGTACCTCAGATATCAGTTTTACCATGGGTTCAGAAAAAAATGATAATTGTCTAGACTACGGCTAGGATAAAACTGCATGTGTATATATTTTACAAAATAATTATATTAGGGATTTCAAAGCTCAAAGGGCATTTTTTAGTTTTGTAGTTTACAAAGCGTTTTTTTTAAGAATTGGAATAGGGAGGGGTGGGGGGATCTTCTAAATTACATTTTTTTTGTGCAAGTCTTCAAAAAAGTTTGCAGATTATTTCTAAATTTGTGCCCATTCTTGATTACACTGAATTGCCACAAAAACAACATGTTCTATGGTAATATCAAGAAATGGAAACAAAACAACTCAATTGTTCTTGAATTTGGATTTTTGTATAATATATACACGCATACAATATACATAAAGATATACAAGCTCAGATAAATATAGCTTTTGAAACAGTTTCAAATTTATGATCGGTATCTCTCAAGTAAAAAACATTTAGGCTTTCAGCCATATTTTTCAAATCAGGGTATAACCGTCCAACGTGTTTTTTTAGGATTTTTTAGAAAATAAAATAATAATCGGTCACAAAATATATGAGTACTGCTAGTGCCAAATCATCCTGAGCCAAAATATTTTAATTTTGATGTGATTTTAATGCATATAGCACACTTGAGATATACCAATCAACTCAAAATGAACAAATATGATAAATACATAGATATTAGATAATGATTTATCAATCTTTATTTAAATATGTTCATATAATGTTAAGTGCCTTTGTTAAATATATCTGATAACGATGTATTATTTGCAATGTAAGTATTAGTTTCTTACTAGATTTTGTTTGGTTAATTTAGTTATTTATTGAATTTTATTAACGTATTTGTTGAAACGATGCAAGTTATCAGTACTTTTCTTCTTAATCTTGAAATTTTAAAAAGAGGCATCGTACTTAATTATTCTAGTCATATTTATTAATATTCGCCTGTCAATAGCTCCAATTGTATTTTCTTGTTTAAAATGAAATTAGTTTGAAAAAATCTATTCCTCATCAGAAAACAAAATGTCGGTAGAACAACTGAAGGCTCGTGTGGCAGAGTTGGAAGCAATGCTTCAGATTAAGACAGGGACAGCTAGGTAGGATCATTCCCCCCCCCCCCCCCCCCCCCCCCCCCCCCCCAATCGGCCAAATCTTTTACGAGACTCCAGACCCCCAACCTCTGACCAAATTTTGTATCAAATCTTTAAAAATTCTCGAATTCATTTACATTTTTGTGTGAATAAATTCACATCTTGGCAAATTCTTATTTTAAACATTGTAGAGAGAAGATCACTGAGATGTCCAGCCAGGTTGTTGACTCCAACCCCTACAGCAGGCTCATGGCTCTAAAAAGAATGGGGATTGTGGACAACTATGAGAAAATCCGGGATTACACTGTGGCTGTGGTCGGAGTAGGAGGGGTCGGTAGTGTTACTGCGGAGATGCTGACAAGGTCGAAATTTATAAATGCTTTATTTATTTATTTATTTAAAAGTAGAATAAGAAACTTAAGACCAGAGCCTGAAATTTAAGCCAAGGTATCGTTTTAAAACTCTGCATCCAATACATTGTCCCAGGTGTGGTATCTGTTACAGTATATGTCCTAGGTGTGGTATCTGTAACCAATATATTGTGCTTGGTGTGGTATCTGTAACCAGTATATTGTACTAGGTGTGGTATCTGTAACCAGTATATTGTCCCAGGTGTGGTATCTGTTACTGTATATGTCCCAGGTGTGGTATCTGTAACCAATATATTGTCCCAGGTTTGGTTTCTGTAACCAGTATATTGTCCCAGGTGTGGTATATGTTACTGTATATGTCCCAGGTGTGGTATCTGTAACCAATATATTGTCTCAGGTTTGGTTTCTGTAACCAGTATATTGTCCCAGGTGTGGTATCTGTAACCAAAATATTGTCCCAGGTGTGGTATCTGTAACCAATATATTGTCCCAGGTGTGGTATATGTAACCAATATATTGTCTCAGGTGAGGTATCTATAACCAATATATTGTCCCAGGTTTGGTTTCTGTAACCAGTATATTGTCCCAGGTGTGGTATCTGTAACCTATATATTGTCTCAGGTGTGGTATATGTAACCAATATATTGTGCTAGGTGTGGTATCTGTAACCAATATGTTGTGCTAGGTGTGGTATATGTAACCAATATATTTTCCCAGGTGTGGTATCTGTAACCAATATATTGTCTCAGGTGTGTTATCTGTAACCAATATGTTGTGCTAGGTGTGGTATTTGTAACCAGTATATTGTCCCAGGTGTGGAATCTGTAACCAATATATTGTCTCAGGTGTGGTATCTGTAACCAATATATTGTCTCAGGTGTGGTATCTGTAACCAGTATATCGTCTCAGGTGTGGTATATGTAACCAGTATATTGTCTCAGGTGTGGTATCTGTAACCAATATTTTGTCTCAGGTTTGGTATCTGTAACCAGTATATTATCCCAGGTGTGGTATCTGTAACTAATATATTGTGCTAGGTGTGGTATATGTAACCAATATATTGTCCATGGTGTGGTATCTGTAACCAATATATTGTCCATGGTGTGGTATATGTAAACAATATAGTGTCCATGGTGTGGTATCTGTAACCAATATAGTGTCCCACGTGTTTATCTGTAACCAATATATTGTCCATGGTGTGGTATCTGTAAACAAAAAAGTGTCCATGGTGTGGTATCTTTAACCAATATAGTGTCCCACGTGTTTATCTGTAACCAATATATTGTTCATGGTGTGGTATCTGTAAACAATATATTGTGCTAGGTGTGGTATCTTTAACCAATATAGTGTCCCACGTGTTTATCTGTAAGCAATATATTGTCCAAGGTGTGGTATCTGTAACCAATATATTGTGCTAGGTGTGGTATCTGTAACCAATATATTGTCCCAGGTGTGGTATCTTTAACCAATATAGTGTCCCACGTGTTTATCTGTAACCAATATATTGTCTCAGGTGTGGTATCTGTAACTATTATATTGTCCTAGGTGTGGTATCTTTAACCAATATAGTGTCCCACGTGTTTATCTGTAACCAATATATTGTGCTAGGTGTGGTATCTGTAAACAATATATTGTGCTAGGTGTGGTATCTTTAACCAATATAGTGTCCCACGTGTTTATCTGTAACCAATATATTGTCCAAGGTTTGGTATCTGTAACCAATATATTGTGCTAAGTGTGGTATCTGTAACCAATATATTGTCCCAGGTGTGGTATTTGTAACCAATATAGTGTCCCACGTGTTTATCTGTAACCAATATATTGTCTCAGGTGTGGTATCTGTAACTAATATATTGTCCAAGGTGTGGTATCTTTAACCAATATAGTGTCCCACGTGTTTATCTGTAACCAATATACTGTCCAAGGTGTGGTATCTGTAACCAATATATTGTGCTAGGTGTGGTATTGGTAAGCTGATCCTGTTTGACTATGACAAGGTGGAGATGGCGAACATGAACCGTTTGTTTTTCCAGCCTCACCAGGCAGGATTATCTAAGGTAAAGGAAAATGTTAAATATTTTGAAAGGAGAAAAAAAACGACTAAAGGAGATGAGTACTAAAGTTCCTGAGCTTTATATTGTTCAGAATTAGTTCATGGGGAGGGGGGGGGGGGGTATATGAATCAACAGACAAATGTTCTTCCTTTTTCTTACTTTTATCCAAAAAGTGTCCTTGTGCACAAAAAAATGGGTGAATTAAGTTTTTATAAATAGGGGAAATATTCTATATTGAGAATACATATACCTTTAATATTTTCCGTTATTGTCAGGTTGAAGCCGCAGCTCGAACTCTAGAGAATATCAATCCTGATGTTCAATTCGAGACTCACAACTACAATATCACAACCGTAGAGAACTTCGAGCATTTTATGTCAAGGATATCCGAGGGCAGCCTCACCGGAGGCCGGATAGACCTTGTCCTTAGCTGTGTTGATAATTTCGAGGCCAGGATGGCGATCAACAAGGCCTGCAACGAGCTCAGCCAAACCTGGTTCGAGTCCGGAGTATCAGAGAACGCCGTTTCTGGTCATATTCAGTTCCTAAAACCAGGTGAAACTGCGTGTTTCGCCTGCGCCCCGCCTCTAGTAGTGGCGAGCAATATAGACGAGAAAACATTGAAGCGGGACGGCGTGTGTGCGGCGAGCCTGCCGACCACAATGGGTATAGTGGCCGGGTTCTTGGTTCAGAACACGCTCAAGTATCTTCTTAAATTCGGACAGGTGAGCATGTATCTCGGATACAATGCTATGCTTGACTTCTTCCCAACTATGACGATGAAACCTAATGAATCCTGCGATGAATATTTCTGCCGTCAAAGACAGAAGGAGTTCGTTATTGAGTTGGCCAAGCGACCGAAGGTAAAAACTTTTAAAATCCGATATTTTAGAAATTTTTATTAAAAAATATCAGATAATTTCCTCTGACCTCTATAAAATATCAAGATGCGGAAAACCTGTGAAACCAAATCTGAGAATTTTTCTTAGTTCTTATTTTTTTCAGTTTACAGTTGAGGAAATGAAAATCTGTTTGTTTTTTTTACAGGAAGAAGTAGTTGAAGAGGTCGAGGAGGCTGTTGTTCACGAGGATAATGATTGGGGAATATCCCTGGTGTCCGAGGATGCCGGAGAAACAGACGCGTCCGTCCCAACCCTGGTGGCCGGTATTACAGTCGCGTATTCCCGGCGTGCGCAGGGTACTACTGACGAGGACAAGGAGGAACCAGGAACTGGAGCTGATGAAACATCACTGGAAGATCTCATGAAGCAGATGAAAAGCATGTGAAAAGAAACATAAAAAATGCATTTTTAAGTTGTTGAATGTTGACTTGTTAAATTTATTTATTGTATCGGTGACTGATATTGTCTTTTTTCCATTATTGGTTCTATTATGTAAGTTTTTACTTTCTGTGATTGCTATTTATAAATAGAGAATCCAATCCTTTTAAAAAATTTAGTGTAGAGATTACAAGTACTTTTTATTTTCACCAACTCCTGCCCAGGTACCCGCCGAAATATAAATGTGGATTAGGAATTAGGAACTCTTTATTGCCACTATTGATTTCATTTCTTGTGACCCACCCTTGCATACCCAATTCTCCCTTTAAACCTTTATCTAGTAATAAGAGATATCATCGTTTTTCTAACCTTAATTTATTTCCTTTTCTCTGCTGCATAAATGAAGAGGAATATGTAAATTTCAGATAGAAAAACAAGGATATCTCAAGGTGTGAATCGGCGATGTAACTTTTTAAATGAAAGGTCCTTCTCGTAGTCGGTCCTTATGGTAACCACGATGTGAAGTTTAATTCTATCTTATGTGTTCGAATTTGTCACGTCAATGCAATTACTTTTTGTATAGCAAAGAAATCAGTTGTTGAAGCTATTCAACAACGAATATAAAAATCACTCTTTAAGTTTTGGGGGCTTTAACATTTGAAGGGAACCCTTATTATCAGTTATTTTCGAAGAAATCCATAACAGATATTGCATGCAGGAATTCAGTCTTTGCCACAAACTCTAAATTTCTAATTCCTGTTTCTTTGCAGTCTGATTTTTATATATATATAAGCATTTGATATTTCAATCGTTGATTATTTGATCGAACAGAATTCATAGATTAAAATATCTAAGGTCTTGTACATTGGTTTGCGAAGATATAGATGTTAGAAAATCAGAGTTTCTAAAAGCGGCATTACATCTGACATTTTACACAATTTGTATAATAAATGAACCAATCTGATGATAAACAGGGTGTCCCACGAAACATGACAGTATGCAGGACGACTTGAATGTCGTCTTGACAAAGACGACTTTCAAGTCGTCTTGCTATTGTCATGTTTCGTGGGACACCCTGTAGAATAAACTTGACATAGCTCAAATTAAAAAAAGTGTGCTTTTATTTCAACCTAATGAATTTTGGCCTTATTTAACAAATTAAAATCTGAATAAAATTCTTAATAATTCTTAATATCTCTTTGAATATTGACAGCATAAAAGAGGCAGACCACATTTTGGAAATGCGAAGTTTTGTGATTATTGCTTCAAGAAACGTTGTAAGAGTAGGTTGACGATCGAATGCCGCCGCAATTTTTTACCTTCAAATCGTCTTTCTACCAGCAAGTATCGTGGGACACCCTGTATTTTCCGTTCCGAGGTTACCAATACCATGATTATGCCAAAAATAAAAACATGAAAACGATGCATTAATTTTTAACATATTACAAATATTTCAGTAGTTTAATTTTCTCTGATATATATTTAACAACAATTTTATACAACGGGAAACCGGATACAACATTTATTAAATGTGCTCAGTGTCGACTCAGTGAAATTCCATGCTTGACAAGGAAAATATTGGAAAAATTTAATTTATTTTTCTCTCAGAAAACATTGATGCTGAGAAGATGATTATTGAAGCCAATCCTCTTTCTTACTCTCCCTTCATCTCGTCTTTAGGATCAGTATCATCTGCTAGAATCAACCAGGACTGTTCTACAATACACGCTACTCTCTTCTCATATTCTCTTCGGTTCTCCTAAACAAACATCTTTTAGAAATTTGGCTTGTCTGTTTGCGTCCAATAATTAAAATAAACACCTAAACGGATCAGGCCCAATTTTTTTGTGGTGATTGAAATGACCCCAGAGCCCATTCTCTCCATAGAAAGTGGTCGTGTATTTCACGTACTTTGGGGGACGATATGTGGGCCACTAGATGATCTCATGCTAAATAAATATCTGATAGATAGATATTTCTCCGTACATTTAACGACCAAAATAGGAGAAGTTGTCGACCAATGCAGTTTATGGAAGGTTTAAAAATTTTACGTAGAAAAAATGTCGACTTTCGTCTCAATGTTTAGAGAACATCCGCAGAGTTTTGAATTATCCGATTCCGAAAAGCCTAATATTGAAAACGGAGCTCTAAAATATCCTCATCTCCTTCAATAAGTGCCCAGGATACAGATCTCCTTCAAGAAGTGCCCAGGATACAGATCTCCTTCAAGAAGTGCCCAGGATACAGATCTCCTTTAAGAAGTGCCCAGGATACAGATCTCCTTCAAGAAGTGCCCAGGATACAGATCTCCTTTAAGTAGTGCCCAGGATACAGATCTCCTTTAAAAAGTGCCTAGGATACAGATCTACGTGATCCGCAACTTTTATGCTCTCTAGATCCGGAAGAAAAACTAAGCGCATCCTCGGATTTTAATTACAAAATATTCTAATCAACCTATTTCGAAATTTTCATTCTTCAAAACACACACGTCTAATTTGACAAATTGAAAAAAAATATATCTTCGAGAAGTGAAGCTATTCTAACGTCTATCAATCTGTAAAATATGTAAAGTCCAACTAAAAATCTAAAAAACAAATTTTTAATTTTTTTCACCAAACGGATCAGAATCGAATTAAACAAATCCCACGCACTTATTTAATGCCTACGCCGTCAAATAAAAATCTCAAAAGGGAAATGTAAAGAAACTATTTCCAATAAGATGCATTTCGTATTCAGTATAGTCATATACAATTACAGGGTTACTTACAAAGAATAAGACAATTAAGACGACCTAAAACTCTTAAAATTTAATGATCCAAAAGTTAAATCATTTCTTCAACCTCATTATATTCTTCTATTGGCTTGTTTAATGATTTGACAAAGAAAGAAAGAAATAGTATGAATTCCGTACAGTCGTCTTTGAAGTTTCATCCTTTGTATTTAGTAACAATATTAGATAAGCGTATTTGAGTTAAAATTTAAAGAGAAGACTGAAATAAAGAATACGTACTAAATATTTTTTAGTTTCCATTAAAACTTTATTTTCTTTCTCTTTTAGTTCTCAGCCTGATAACTAAAATAGAGACAATTGCTCTGGGTACCTGATACAACTGGGCAGCAACACTGTTAGCAGGAGAGTTAGGATTGGGTTCATCAAGCAGGGATTGTATTGAAGTTAAAATAGCAGATACATCGTAGGTCGGAGACCATCTGTTCTGAAGGATATCCAGGCAGATTCCTCCATCAGCATATACGTTAGGGTGGAACATCTTACTCACAAACCTAGATATTACATTCTTCGTAGATTAGGGCAAAACATGTAAAAAAAGACAACAAGAAAAGAAGGAAAATAAGATCAATGATTAGCTGGATTCATTTATTTGCCAAATAATTTATAACTTCTCCTGTTCTACCCAACCTTGATTTCTCCTCTTCTAGCAAACCTTGATTTCTCCTGTTCTACCTAACCTTGATTTCTCCTGTTCTACCTAACCTTGATTTCTCCTGTTCTAGCAAACCTTTATTTCTCCTGTTCTAATAAAACTTGATTTATCCTATTCTACATAACCTTGATTTCTCCTGTTCTACCTAACCCTGATTTCTCCTGTTCTAGCAAACCTTGATTTCTCCTGTTTTATATACTAGAACTGGAACCCAGCGTTGCACAGGGGGTCATAGTTAGTCCCACTGATAACCCGCGCTTTACTTAAATTACAATCTCAAAACCAAGCTAAGAACATTCCCGTGGTCCTCCCGAGTTTCCCAATCAAAATTTGAGGCAAATCGGTCAAGGGGTTCCTGAATTATGATCGGACTAACAAACAGAGATTACAACTTTATATATTTAGAAGTATATTGTATATCTCCCGTACCTGACTGTTGGTGGTTTGTTGGGATATTCTTCTGTAAATTCTATTGTAAGTTTGAATGTTCCGTCCTCGAATGGAGTATCATGGGGTCCGAATATAACAGCGTTCCACAGCATTATATTATTATCACTGGGTGCTCCGCTCACACCTATAAATATATTGTACTTTGAACATTATAATTTTTACTATAGGTCGTGGTAGCGGGCTAAAAAAAAAGGACAATGCTAACCTGCCGGAGGTTCTTACTGAGGACAATAAAGCTAACCTGCCGGAGGATCCTACTGAGGACAATAAAGCTAACCTACCGGAGGATCCTACTGAGGACAATAAAGCGATCCTGCTGAGGACAATAAAGCTAACCCGCCAAAGGATCCTACTGAGGACAATAAAGCTAACCTGCCAAAGGATCCTACTGAGGACAATAAAGCGATCCTGCTGAGGACAATAAAGCGAACCTGCCGGAGGTTCTTACTGAGGACAATAAAGCTAACCTGCCGGAGGTTCTTACTGAGGACAATAAAGCTAACCTGTCAAAGGATCCTACTGAGGACAATAAAGCTAACCTGCCAAAGGATCCTACTGAGGACAATAAAGCTAACCTGCCGGAGGATCCTACTCAGGACAATAAAGCTAACCTGCCGGAGGATCCTGTTGCAACCTCTTAAAATCTCTCATCAAACGTCGTCGAGCCGGAGTAGACATTTTATTCTGAAACAAGAAATATTCTATAAAAAATCTACTTTAACAGATTCTAATTAATATTCAAATTCCTTTTTCTTCAGACAATGGAAAGGTTGTCAGAGGAACAGGTTCTTATATGTGTTTATTGCACAAAAATGCAAATTTTTTGGTTAAAAAACTTCTGAACCTATCAAACCTACTTTAAATGTTTCAATGAGAACTAATCTGCAGAGATGGAAGTACAGTTGATGTACAATTTCTCAGCGTACGTTGTACAATTCGCCAGCGATAAACGTTGTACACTTGTATAAACCTCTGCACTCGTTAGGATTTAACGCTGCACTGTTCAGATAAGTTTAAATTGTTAAAACTGTACATTTACAAACAAGTACTGCCAATTAGAAGGCTCAGATAGCATTATTCAAAACTCAAAAAAAAAACAGAAATAAAATTATTTCAATAACACTGGAACAAACCTTTAGTACTTAAAACAGCATTTAAACGTCGTGAAATATTGAGAAAATAAAATTATGTTTAATTTAAAATGTCAAAGACTGATGGTTGAAGCAATTATGTTACCAGGGTCTCTAAGATTATAAAAACCTGTATTTATCACATGACAACGCTGACCGCAACATCAATAATGTGACAAAAATGACAATAAATATTTTAAATGACGAAGTTAACAGTAAAATCTATGTCGTAACAAAGCTGACAGCAGGACAATTACGTAACGGAGATGTTAACTGGATCCGTGACAGGCCTGAATATACCGGAGACGAGAGGAACGGAAAGGTTTGATGAGAGTAGGTTGAACATGAATTCTCTATCACAGGAGATCTTCTCTAGACCAGATAGATTCGGATCCTTGAACACTCCACCATCCTAGATAAACAGATATCTATTTAATTCTGAAATATACTGAAATTTGTTAATTTGAAGCTGATGCTTAAATTATTTATAAAAATACACGTAAATTGTAGATAAATAGTTAGAAAGATAGAGATAAGGAAAGAAAAAAAGAAGAACAGAAAAAATAACGAAAGATAAATGACAGAAAGAAGGACGGACGGACAAAAAGGCACAGATCAACCGATAAAGAAAGAAAGAAAGAAAGAAAGAAAGAAAGAAAGAAAGAAAGAAAGAAACAAAAGAAACAAAAGAAAAAAAGAAAAAAAGAAAAAAAGGAAGAAAGAAAGAAAGAAAGAAAGAAAGAAAGAAAGAAAGAAAGAAAGAAAGAAAGAAAGAAAGAAAGAAAGAAAGAAGGAAAGAAAGAATGAAAGAAAGAAAGACAAACAGACAAAATGATTTTTTATCATTATTCCCATGCAATAAATATCCAATATTTTTATATAAGATTTTACCGTAGTAAGCTGAACCCAGGTAATATGAACTAGGTGCGGAACAGGTTTAGAAGAAACAGGTTCACCTTCTCCTAGAGCATGATCTGAACCTACTCCGGAGATAATATTTCTAAACCCTGCTTCGTGGAGCTCAGCACTGGAAAACGCGTTCTCTAAAAACGAGAAGTCTTTAAAACGCAACCCTGAGAAAGATATTGTATTCAAAATGTTATATAAATATATTAAAAAGCATTAACTTAAATTTGGGGGAGAGGGTATGAAGACTGGGCAAAACGATTATTTTAAAAAGCTATACGCGAAGTTACCTGATAAAAAAATAGGAAGTTTCAATTCAACATTTTTGTTAATTCCTTTTCCTGCGCTGGATATCACGCCCTGGGTCTCGTTTAGAACAGCTCCGAGTCCGTTGATTTGAGCCGGGAGCAGGATTTGCAAACTCATCTCAGGGTTCAGATTCACTTCCACTATCTCCCATTGATCGAACTTGGCAACATTCATCTCTGCATATATCACTGCCATTGGAATAACTTTGGTCAGTTTAGAGTTCACCAAAAATGCCTCTTCGGACATTTTAGAGTTTGCTAGAGACACTTGAAGTTTGTTAGTGTTTAGAATTGAAAATTTATCACATGTATCCGAGGTAACCTCCAGAGTTGCTCCGACAAAACTAGCCACCTCGGAAAATCCTGAAGAGATTTCATTTATGCAGGATGTATTGATATGTATATTGGACTTGAAAGACGGGATTATTTTGTTCAGATCTTGCAGGGTTCCAATCTTTAGCTCCGGGTAGGGGGAAGATTCCCCTGCTTGGAGGCTGTGGACCATGTGGGTCAGCTTAAGAAGACTGAAAGGACTGAAGACAGGATTAGAACCAGTTTTTAGAAGGTTGAGAAGAAGGGTGGAAAAGGCTGAGACAGGTAGCACTGAAGTAACTGGTTCTGAAATAAAAACTAATTTATGCAAACCCGTTCAAGCAAAAAATCCTCAGCTTAATTTAGCTACAATTAGCAATTTCTTACTTTTTAAACTTGAACACTTGATAATTTTGACACATTTTTTAGTTATGCCGTAGTTATGAGTTCATTTTCTAGTTTCATAATTATTAATTCATTCTTATTATCTATGAAGTTAAAGTTGAATCAATATTCTTGAGAGATATAGGAAAACAAGACTTTAAGGGCGCTTCGCGTCCATCTTCTATTTCATTTGAAAACATTTTCTCTTTGAAAACATTTAAAGAATAAAAAATAAAAAAATATCTGGATTTTCTTAATTTTAAAAATCAAATCTTGTTACAAGCTAATTTTTGAAAATTCGATCATTCCTTCCCTGGGGTCACGCAATGTTCCACAAAATTTTGGGCCCGATCGCTTTAGCCGTTTTGACGTTAATTTGATACAAACAAACACCCAAGCAAAGTATACATGTAGAAGGAGTAGTTCTGAAACAAAAATACAGGATTTTTCAATTTCTTCAATTAAATCCATCCTACCTTTCCTCTCCGGAGTTCCGAGAGTAACCAGTGGAACCAGGAGAAGGATTAAACTGAGTGCTAGTAGAACCAGGAGAATTAATAAACCTAGAAAAATAAATTATATTCTGGGTGAGCAATATCAATTATCGAAATATGATAATCTACTGATATGATTCCTTGTCTCACACACCAAAAAAGCTAATTTTAATTATCCTTTGTGCAAATATACAAGATTATACAAAAAGTGAATTTATTATACAGCAGTATAACTAGTTTTTAAAAAGAGGGAAAGTGGTATTAGAATCTTAAACCTTTAGTAAACAAGTTTCCTTATCATGGGAACTACATTTATACTAGGGAAATTGTGAACTCCTTAAATATTCGTATTTAAAGACCAACTTAATTCTCCAGTTTGTACAATAATCCGTTCCAGTAATCCCTACCTAGTTTAGGTCTGAGAGAAGCTGAGACTGAGAACCGGGTTGCATGAATCTCCGGGAGATATCTCCAGGGAGGTTTCCGGCTCAACGATCCTACGACCGGAACAGTCATTATTTCAACATTATCTCTAAAATATGATTTATAGAAATTAAACATGTTTACATCATCATTTGCTTATTCGTGAAGTACAAAAGATATTTTAACACGAGTGCATTCAAACTAATTTGTTTAAATGGTTTGCAAGTAGAAGGCCAGTAAGGCACAACAGTTTGCTTTAAATATATACAGTAGTACATAGTTCACCACGATATTTGTTAGATTTTAACATTTATAATCATTTTATTTTTGAGAGGACTGCAGCCCGTCGCTCGGTATTCTGGAATATTGCTCTGATCAGCTGCTTCACCTCCTCCGGGGAGAATTCCTTGGCCAGCACCCCCTTTCCCTCCCCCCACCTGTCCTCTATAACCCTTAAACTAGAGTTGAGTACAACAATTAGTTCTAGAAACTTCCCCCACTTCTTCACAAACTTCTCAGGTTCCTCAGCTTGGAATAGATCCGGAGCTTTAACAACAATCTAAAAAATATGAAAAAAAGTTTTGTCAATTTTTAGGATCATTTATGCTAATTTTGCTTCAAACTTAAATCATTTTTCCATTGGATACTTTATGTTAACATAAAAGAGCAAAGGGTGGCCGAAAATTAATTTTACAAATATTCATTTTATCCGATCTTACGTAATTACCATAAGTAATTATTTTTTGAGATAGCAGTTAAACTCCGCGCGAGTAAACTATGGCTTTAACTCATTCCGTTGATTTTAAGTTTCCAAGCCTGGTTTACCTGGTTGAGCAAAGAGCAGTATTGTCCTGAAACCTCGGCTGATATATCTGTCAGGTTCAGGATTCTCTGTAGTATCTCTTCAAGACCGGAGTTTACCAGGGTTCCAATACATCTAGACAAATATTTGGTTCAGAATAACTTGGCGTTATCAAATTAAAACAGACAATTTTTTGGCTTAATAGAATCAAAAAAGTGACTTTGAGTTATGAATGAAACAAAATTCGCTTAGAGTGCTTCTGTGACTTTGATAGACTTGCATAAAAGTTAAACTTTAATGTCCGCAGTGACAAGAACTGGTTTGTAATGGTTCATAATTGTTTTTTGGTGGTTTAGCACGTTTTCTATACTAATATACCTGTTATACACGTCTGCGGGAAGAACTTTTTGCCAAACCTTCTGAAGATGAGATAGCTGATGAATAAACTGTCTGACAGCTTGATCAACTCCACTGGATAATCTTCTCTCCGAACCAGCACTATTCATTCCAGCATTACTCAGGGTAGAGACGATAGTATCCCGCTGTATCCTCATACTTCTCAGGAGTACCTCAGCTCCGACAGTTCTGATCCTAGGAACTATATCTATGAAGGTTGGAGTATGCTGGGATAGAGCAGGAAGTTTATCCTTGTACAGGAATCCAAGTGTGATCAACCTATGAGCGAGGTACATGGCACTGTTGTGAACTATAGCGGAGAGCTGGGGTAGGGAATCCAGGTCGGATTTATGAAAGGTTGGAACAACTGCGCACCACAGTTCAAATATATTACGCACCGTGTTGTACAATCGAACGGAGCAGAATGGTTTGGCTAATACAGCTTCTTCTAATCCTTTCAGAGCTAGATCAAGAACCTTCATAGTAGAAGTGGATACTGAACACTCAGGGAACTTGAAGGTTCTGTCAGGCATAGAGAAGTTGGGAGGGATTGGGAGATCTTTTAATTCAGATGTTAGGTTCAGCGGATCTTCATGGTTTGAGTCTCCGGTTGAAATAACTACAGTAGTAAAGAAATCCTCCTTCATGAGATCTCGAGCTTTCACCAGCAACTCCTATTATTCAAACAAATATAAAAAATAAAATAAATAGTTCATCTCAAATTTTTTTCTCAACCCACCTGGCAGAGTTTGTTTGCAAAAAGTGCATCAACATTTTTAGCATAGTTGATAAGGGAGAGATCTGAGCTTGGCATGAAATCAGTTTGAACAAGAAACTCGTGGAAGGAGACGGTTTCCTCTAGAACATTCTCATACTCTGGTAATGATTCAACAGTGGATGGAACAGCTGTGGCAAGAACCTCTCTGAAAGAAACAAGTTTTGAATCCAATTTTGAAAACACATAATTTTTTATCAAGTACTTGATTGACAAAACAGTGCATAGGATCCATTTCATTTGATGCGGAAGAATCATGATCCATTTCACGAATTTTTCTAAAAGTTCTGTTTATTCTTTTTTGTAAAAAAAGGCTAATTTTATGCTAATTTGTATAAAAAAATTATCATTTCATGATGTGAAGGTTTTCATGGTCGCTTTAGATAAAATGTATGTTTAAAGAGAAAAGTGTTCGTTTTCCTTAATTTTTGTTGATATTTTACCACTTGTGGATTAGCAAATTTTATTAATAGGATTTGGGAACTCAAATGTTGCGGATTCAATGGATCCTGAACCTGCGCACAAGATAATAGACAAAAATCTTACGTAATTACAGTTTGGGATAACCAGGAGGAGAGTTTGGTTCCGACTCGTGATAACAGGGTTGGAGAGTTCTCTTCTTTACTCAGTGGAACAGCAAAGTTTGTTGCGAGGAAGGAGAAGAGGAGCCGCAACATTTTAAACACAGAGTTCGGATCCTCATGATCCTTCTCCGAGCTGTTACGTGAAACAGATATTGATCCATGATTAACAACAACTGAGGAATTGCCGGAGATTATGTTTTCAAGAAAATCGTTCTTTAAATGCTGGTTGAAAGGATGGAGAACATCATCAAGGGTTTCGGTGGCGTAGAGCGCCTGGATTAACTCCTCGACGGTCTCGTTGAAGGAAGCGTGTTCTGATGCCCCTCTGAGCTCTAGGTTAAATGAGTTCTTCTCTTCGTCCTTCTTAAAAATAACCTTCTGTGCCCACTGTGTCTTGAGGTTTACGGAAAGCTTTTGTTTTTGAGAAAAAATTTCTTTTTGGATGGACGGAAATATTTTTATTTCCATCTCGTCTAGGCCGGTGCAAGGAGTTCGGAGGATATTGAACACGGCCTGGAGAGAGGTGGAGGCTGCAAACCATTTCCCGGAGGACAGATGTTCATTACAGTCCTCCATGTGATCATAGCAGCACTTGATCTTACGAACTATCTGGAGTAAAAAAAATATGTAACTTTTTGTTTTTTGATTATAGTAAGAATGGTGTTAAATATTCACATTCGTATTTAATTTTGATTTAAAATTCGGTGATGGTGATGGACCAAACCTCTGTAGAGTAAAAAAAGTAGATGTTAGTTCCACATTTATTGAAAATATATTTCGGTCTGGGTTGACCCTCGTCAGTTCTAACGATATAATAACCATCGAAATCGATAAAAAAAAAATATTAAAAAATGTAAAAAATCACAAGAAGATAAACAAACAAAAAAGATTATCCAAAATAAAATTTGGGCTTTCAAATGGACATAAGGGAAACGAACTCAGATTATGAGATGGAAAAAAGATAATTTGCAAATATTCACTTTTAAAAAAATGTTTTGAGACAATTATTATTCCTTGAGATTGTTTCTTCACAAAGATTAAAAAGTTCATGTCCAGGAAGGTTAAAATGTTCTCCTGTAGGCTGGCTTGTATGGAGATTTCTAATGTAACTTAATGTAATTTGGAAACTGTTTACGTCTTTATTACTAACATCAAAAGTTACAGTAAGATTCATTTAATGAAAAAGGGAGAAAACTCTAACCTGAAGTGTTAGGTTTGTTTCTTGCATTCCCTGATTCAATTCAATCAGTTCTCCATTCCTAGCCATGAGCTCTGCTCTAGAGAACAAAAAGATGTCTAATCAAACTAAAAAACAGGACTTTCTTTTTTAATACAAAATACGTATTTTATCGAAGTTAAAAGGAACAATTGATGTTAATGGGTATTCGTTCATTGGTTCGTGATTGAAGGTAAATAAGAAATAAAGAACTTTATAATTATATTATATTCATCGGAGAAATTCTAGATGAATTCAAATTTCCCAAGTAAGTTTATAATCATAAATCTCTTTTTTAAGGAAGACGGGGTAACCTGAATTAAATAAAATAATAATATTTTTGTACCTCAAGTTTTTGTTAATACTTGACTCCAAGGTTTCTATATCAGCAGTTAATCTCTCCAGCTGACCGTTAATGGTAGTTGTGTGGGAGAGAGATGAGGAGAAGTTGGAGTAACGATTATGAATATGAACACTCAACTGAGATTTTAGATCATTCAATTTCTTCTGAATTTTATTCGACTTGGACGCAAAATCGTCTTTCTCCGCAATTACCGCGGCCGAGAGAACCTCGCGGACAAACGAGGCCATTATTTCGTAGTTTTTATATAGAATCTGAAGCAAAATTATATCTGTAGATAATAGCTTTATTATCAATCTGTGCTCTGGTATTGATCCTAAATATGTTATGAAGAAAAAACAATATTCTATATTAAGCCCAATCCTAAAGCTTTAAACTTTGGAAACAAAACTTTGTATTTAGTATATAATCATAACGCGCCATATTCTGAGGATATGAAGAGTGAATAACCATACCTAATATACATTTTACATTTCAGGAAAGAGTATTGAAGAAAAGTTCATACCATCAATGTAATTTTAGTAAAACAATTTCTGTAAAAATTGGCTCTAACAACAGGTTGACAAATGATGTTGTGTCATTTTGATTTTTATAGTATTTGGGTAAATTATTCGTCACTAGAAATTTATTATTAGGTCACTCGTTCTTGTATTTTTCATTCGCATATTCGACTTTTTTAGTTTGAAAGCTGATCAATTTCACTTTTATCGAATATTTGTATGTGTGTTTTTTCTACGTTGAGAGTACAAGGTCGTTGCCGCAAGCGTTTTGTTGTTTCAAACTTAGCAAGAACGGAATAAAAAGTCGTCTTACTTCAAATGTTCTTTAAGATCATCTTAAAAACTTTCATTCGAAAACAGAGTCACCCATAAAGAATGAGACTGTAAAGCTACGACCTGACCTGAAGCTCTTTAAAAATGAGGATTCCAATGTTGAATTAAATTTATTGCATTGAATAAAGGCTTCTTATGGCTTATTTAATGATTTTCGCAAGGGACGAAAAAGTTTAATGTTTCAGATATCATATACAGAGAGTCCCACGAAACATGACAGTTGCAAAACCATATGAAATTCGTCTTTGAACTTTGAATTTATTTGAAACATTCAGTCTTCAACCTACTTTTATGTGAATTATTCTTGAATCAATAACCGCGATATTCTCCTAGTCCTGCAGGTATTTCAAAATTGTGGACTACTTTTTTGTGCTGTAAATATTACCGGAGACATTTAGTCTCCGTCAAGCCAATCTCGATCATTTAACGTCCAGAATTATTTACCCGCCATCGGCACATGTAGTCGGTTAAAATGTTTCAGATGGATGAATTCCGTACAGTCGTCTCTGAACTCGCATCCTTTGTTGCTAACCCTGTAGGTAACAAACAAAACTATAAACTAAATAATTGTCCAAAGAAATGTGAAGTAAGCAAAGCATACAAAAATTGGCGATTTGGGACATGGAGGTTGAGGTTATTTCACAGGGTGTATGATTCGAAATTTCAGTAGAACATTGAAACTCTCCAATATTTTGTTTAAGCATATGCATATGCATAAGCATATGTTTGATATTCATGTGTTTGTAAAATGATAATCAACTTGTTTAATTTCAAAATTAGTCTAAATTATGGAAATAACATACATCAGTTTTATTAGGAGAAAAAGTTGAAAGATTCAACGTTATTTCTCCTTTCTTCTCAACCTCTTAGTTATGCTTTCTCTTCCTTGATCCCGTAAGCTTTAGTTCTTCTCTCTCTTCCTTGATCCTGTAAACCTTAGTTCTCCACTCTTTTCCTTGATCCTGTAAACCTTAGTTCTCCTCTCTTTTCCTTGATCCTGTAAACCTTAGTTCTCCTCTCTTTTCCTTGATCCTGTAGACTTTAGTTCTCTTCTCTCTTCATTGATCCTGTAAACCTTAGTTCTCCTCTCTTCATTGATCCTGTAAACCTTTGTTTTCCTCTCATCATCGATACTGTAAACCTTAGTTCTCCACTCTTTTCATAGATTCTGTAAACCTAATTTCTCCTCTCTCTTCATTGAGTCAGTAAATCTTAGTTTTCCTCTCTTCATCGAACCTGTAGTAAACCTTAGATCTCCTCTCTTTATAGATCCTGTAAACCTTATTTCTCCTCTCTTCATTGAGTCAGTAAACCTTATTTCTCCTCTCTTTTCATCGATCCTGTAGACTTTAGTTCTCTTCTCTCTTCATTGATCCTGTAAACCTTAGTTCTCCTCTCTTTATTGATCCTGTAAACCTTAGTTCTCCTCTCTTTATGGATACTGTAAACCTTAGTTCTCCTCTCTTTATTGATCCTGTAAACCTTAGTTCTCCTCTCTTTATAGATCCTGTAAACGTTAGTTCTTCTCTCTTCATAGATCCTGTAAACCTTAGTTCTCCTCTCTCTTCATTGATCCTGTAAACCTTAGTTCTCCTCTCTTTATAGATCCTGTAAACCTTAGTTCTCCTCTCTTTATAGATCCTGTAAACCTTAGTTCTCCTCTCTTCATCGATCCTATAAACCTTAGTTCTCCTCTCTTCATTGATCCTGTAAACCTTTGTTTTCCTCTCATCATCGATACTGTAAACCTTAGTTCTCCAAGTTAGTTCTTCTCTCTTCATTGATCCTGTAAACCTTAGTTCTCCTCTCTCTATTGATCCTGTAAACCTTTGTTCTCCTTTCTTTATTGATCCTGTAAACCTTAGTTCTCCTCTCTTTATTGATCCTTTAAACCTTAGTTCTCCTCTCTCTTCATTGATCCTGTAAACCTTAGTTCTCCTCTCTTTATTGATCCTCTTAAACGTTAGTTCTTCTTTCTTCATTGATCCTGTAAACCTTAGTTCTTTGTTCTTACTGTAACTAGTATAAATCTAGTGAATGTTTGCTTTATATACATTATGACGATATAAAAGCAGTATTGTTCATAAATATCTTATAATTAACTTGTTCAGGCTTCAAAATGTATCTATTTTACTACCCCCCCCCTCACACCCTCCATGACCTCCGTCCTATACTTTGTATGTTCTTGCATTAGTTGAGGTAAGCCTTGTCATTTATGACTGTAAAGTAAAATAAACTTTTTTACGCCATTTTGATAGCAGTTTATTAAATGCAGCCTGAGCTACGCGTGCGCGGTATTTACGCGCAGAACATAGCTGTCATGAGCATAGGCTTGCCAAGTTTTTGCTTGCATTTATAATATCCTGTAAAATACGATCAAAAGGATCATGTTTACGATAAAACCTTCGTCAATTTACACTTTACAGTTACAGTGATAGTTAGCTGTAAAAGCGTTTTCAAGCATCTAAAATTGTTTAAATAATTATGAAATAATTATTAAATAATTATTAAATAATTATTAAAGTAAGTCTTTCAATAAGTCTAAGAGCCTTAAAAGAACTTATCCCTAGCTTAAAAGAACTTATCCCTAGCTTAAAAGAACTTATCACTCGCCTAAAACCTTTGATATTTCAACCATCAGCTATACATTCCACTTGATCAACTAGTAAAACTTTGAAATATCAAAGGATTACGGCATCATGTTGCAAAGATTAAGAGATCAGAAAGTTACTGTTTAGTCCCTACAACGATATTTGTTTTCATTTGACTTACACTGGAGATAATTTACATTATTCTGAAGAATAAATTTTGAAAAATATAAAGCAACATTTTGGGCAACTGATTGCACAACAAGATTTGAAGATTCTCAATTTGGTATGGAGGTCGAAGATAGGTCAATACTTCAGATATTATTGTTTCTGGGTTCAGCTCAGTCAGGTTTTCAACGATAAGTCAGAATTTGATTTCGGAGCTGTTACGAAATTTTTGCAAATTGTTATTAATATACAACGGGACCCATAAAACTGTGGTAAAAAAATGACGACTATTAAGCAATTTTATCTGTATTTGATGTTATAAAGCAAAGCTGATTTGTAATGAACTTAAACTTAAATGTGTCCGTGTACACTTTGTTGTGATTCATGTTCACTCAACTATTTAAAATTAATAATGTGCATTACATTGGATTGTTATGGGGTCTTTTTTGTCTATATTTTCTAAACATTTACTGTTAGAGGTAAATTTGGTTTTATAGGTCCCATCTTTAGTAAATTTGATTTTATAGGCCCCACCTGTAGTAAATTTGGTTTTATAGGTCCCATCTGTAATAAATTTGGTTTTATAGGTCCCATCTGTAGTAAATTTGGTTTTATAGGTCCCATCTGTAGTAAATTTGGTTTAATAGGTCCCATCTGTAATAAATTTTGTTTTATAGGTCCCATCTGTAGTAAATTTTATTTCATAGGTCCCATCTGTAGTAAATTTGGTTTTATTATAGGTCCCATCTGTAGTAAATTTGGTTACATAGGTCCCATCTGTAGTAAATTTGGTTTTATAGGTCCCATCTGTAGTAAATTTGGTCTAATTGTCTGCAGTGTAAAAGATCACATTACAGGAAATTTTAAAGGAAATTAAAAGGTTACTTCTCCAAAACATTACTATAAAAGAGGGGCTATGTATATCCACGTACATTAAACTTCATTACAGACATTGATATCTATTTATAAAAAGAATAGATTCTACCTAAAAAATCTTAAAAAATGAAATATTATTAATAATTCAGTCCTGTAGTACTCTTATACTAAGTTAAGTTTTGTGCGAGCATAATATGAAAATGTACTAACAAAAAGAACAAATAACATTTACAACGGATTTTATGACCTTTTCCTTCCATAACATAATATTTGAGAAAATGGTGTTAAACTAGAACCTAACTAGAGTTTATTGAATATTTTAAGCTTTAGCAAATTTAACCAACTGATCATTAGCAGCATGAAATCTGGAAACCGTTAAGTTTTTTAAAAGTTTCTATTAAAATAATATTGTAATCTTTTATGAAAATTAAAAAATATAAAATGTAAAAGATATACAACAAAGCCAGAACACTTACATATTAAAACCTATTATTCAGAGGTCGTCGTATATATCAATACAATGAAGACGACTTTAGATTTAAATTTTGATTTTTTCCCATGCTTGGATGCAAATAAACATAGTAACAAAGATAATGTGTCAATTAAAATCTTCTCTTTGTTTACTTGAGACAATGTAATTTATAAAAACAACACAATCAAAGCTTAAAACAAGAAGTCGTTTTTATTGTATTGATAAAAAAGCCAACCACTGTACATAAAACAGGTCTTTTGAAATCTTCCATTAATTTCCATGTTTTTCGATACTCCCTGTTTGCAATTTTCTATATATGAGAACGGCCCAAACAATAGTTGAATGCATATTGCATACCCTCTCTTTAAGGTTTAGTTTAACCTTGTTAAAGATCCCCTTAGCGGCCTAAAACACGAGAATATATCAGCAGTTTGGCCTGTTAACTACCATGTTTACCAACTAGCGCCAGGAACCAGTGTAAGCTTTGCACAATTTATTATTTTCTTTTTAAATTGCTGATATGCCTATACGTGTATATCCTTATGCATATTGCGTATCTTGTATATATTCTTATATATGGATATTGGATCTTTTATACCTGCATACCTACAGATACTATAGTAGATTGACCGTGATCTTTTAACCCTCCAATAAACTTCAATATTTAATAATTCAATATAAATATATTGGAAAACGACATAAATTTACATAGAGACAAGTTTAGTAATTAAATTTACATAAAAATACATAAATGTAAATTGTTTATCACAGGTTTAAGGTTTCATCTCATGCTACTGGTTTAGGTTTAATATCTCCTAGTCTCAGGGTGGTATCAGGAGAAGGGTAGAGAGATTGGAATCAGGTAACAAGATTTTCTTCAGGTCCATCTTTATGATCTTCATACTGCAGACACTTGAGTCTCATCGTCTAAATTTAATGATATTAAGAACTTCGATTATGAAACAGTTATCAAGATTAACATTTTGGGTTTAAGCATTAAAACTATAAAAACCAAGTTAAAAACAGTATACACAAACTGTTAGGTAAATTGCTTTGGAAAAAATTGAGACTTTTCAAGAAATTCTGAATAACTAAATTCATTGTGGTAAAAAGTAAAGATTTTGTTATAATCTCATTTTGAAGAGAAGGCAGAAAATGCAGATTTAGGAAGGTTGGATGGATGAATGGATGAATAGATATCAAAACTTGAGAAGCGTGAATAATCTGCAGACCTAAGTCTATTCCCTGATATTCCCACTGCCTTGAAGTGGAATACTGCTTGTGCAAAACAAATTAAAGAATACAACCTCCCAGTATATATATACACAGGTTTAGGAAACACGCGGAGTCTTTCAACCCGGCACAGAGAACAGGATGAAGAGGATTTGCGGAGATTTAAAATAATTAGATCCTTACCCTCTGACTCCGGGTGGTGGTTGTAGTAGGGAGCATGGATGGGAAGATGGTTGAGCCTGGTAATTCTTGGAGCAGGGATGTGTCTAGAGTAATATCTACCCGGAGAACCTGGGCATATTGATACTGGGACAGCATGGTGCACAGATAACGGTATTCCTAAATATAAATATTTATATTTTTTTTCAAAATATGATCCAAGATTTCTGGGAATTGCAATCAGCTTCATATTAATTATTCATTAGATTAACAATGCCATGAATTAAAAGTTTGTGAGAATTTGCTAAGTGCAAGGATTTCAGGAATTTGCGTGCACAGATGCAAAAACTTGGTTAGAATAAGACCGCAAACTTTATTTTAAAAATGCGAAATATTAGTTAAAGAGCCTGGGGGTGTTTTTTTTTTAACTAATTCCGTGTTGAATACTTAGTGAAGGGGCTCTTCAAGTCCGTCTCCAACCCCCCCCCCCNCACTGTTAAACCTAGAGAAAAATGACGTTATCTTTCTTATTATTATCAGATAAAGGTTTCAAAGATACAGTTTTGAAGTTACCAAAACCTTTATTTATATATATATATATGAGATTTGGTATAAGAATCTAAGTTTTAAACAGATCTGCAAATACGCAACCAATCTGAAAAACTACGATATTACTACTACTACGATAACTTAGGTTTCCTCTTTTTATAATTTTTTATTTTTAATAGATATAAATGATAATTTAATTAAAACGTCTGAATCATGTGACCATAATTTGCACCAATAGCAGTGCAATATCATTGTCACGTGTCTCCGTCGTATCACGTGACAATGATAATGCACTGCCATTGGTGGGAGTTCTGATCACGTGATAATTATATTATCAATTATATCTATCAAAAATGAAAATTTATTCAATTCAAATACTGGTAGGAGCAAGCCTAAGTTATTAAGGCTTACCAGTCCCTTTAAGTTAATTAGGACGATCGTAAAATATTTTGTACAAAAACACATTCACAAGTTTCACCAACCATAAGCTTTAGAAATCCGGGAAATTAAAACCAAGACGAAAGGGTTTAAGAATTAAATAATTTAGAAAGTGAGAACAATAAACATAATGTATACAACAAATGTATCCAAGATAAACGTCAACGCTTTTTGGCAGCATGGATATAATTAGATCAAATAATAAGCTTTAAAACAACTTTGAAAAAGTTGAAATTACGTATATTATAGAATTTGACATGAAAGATATGAAGACAGGAAGTTAGAAGGAAGTAGAGTATCTGAGTAGACGGATGTATTGTATAAAGATATAAACACTTGTATTGTTCATAAAGGATATTTACCATGGTTATGTTGTTGTCTATGGTAGTGTTGATGGTATCTCCTGCGGTTTTGAAGCTGAGGAGACTCACTTTGGTTCCGCTCCAGTCTCTCCTTCTCCGTACTGAAACCACTATCGGACGAGGTTATGGAGCCAATGGAGTTCTGAACCTTCCGCACTTTGGTCTTACTCACGTTACGCTCCTTTGGCCTCCCTGACACAGAGCTGGATTCGGAGGTTAGATTGACCGGGGTTGGTTGCTCCACCCTTTCAGGTTTAGGTTGGCTAGGACTGGGTTGATCTCTCTCAACTCCGGGATGAGATTTATGTCTAGGTTTTGTCTGCTCGGATAGAGCGAGTAGTTTCTTAACCGCCTGAGGACTGGCAGCTCCTAAAATTATATTTCGTGTGTGAAATAGTTCCATGAATAAATTTAACCAACCAACATGAGAGAACATGGTAAGTAAAACTTACCAAACTTCTGTGAAGAGATCATTAAGTTTCTCCGATCTTCTGAATTATGTGACGGAGTAGAAGAGTTACTACTAGCAGCAGAAGGAGAAGGACTGGAGGTCCGTTTACGAATCTAGAAATATAAAAAAAAATGGTCAAAAAAATTGAAACTCGCAGCAGAATTTCACTAAATATATTATGTTTTTTTTTTTTAAATTTAATGTTTGGATTTGTTGTTTGGACCATGTAAATTGTTAATTCCAAGACGAATTCAATTAAAAGTTGAAAACAAATGAAGAAGCGTTTACCAGAACTGTTTGATGTTGATGCATTCCAGCCTGGGGAGGTTCACATTCAAGAGACATCTTGTGGAGTTCATCCTCGTCCGTGATCACCTTCATTGACTTGAGGTAGGCCTTCACCCTCCTCACCATCTGGGCCTGGGTAGACAAAAATATGTTCAAGAATATCCATATCGGGATCATGTACGACCAAATGAATAATGATGTAAAAATGAATAATTTATGTAAAAGTGTGCCGAAGAAGATGATAAAAGAATTACGTAAGAAACCAGCGCAGCGTTCCCTTTTAGGGAACATTGTGGACGTTGATATTAACTAATGTTTAAATCTGCAAGCTCCATATATGGTGAAAACTAGTATATCCAACAAAAGGCAGACCTGAAGAAAATTTAAACCACAGGGTTCTTTTAACCAACTTAATATTTGACTTGTAAAACTCTACTAAAAATTGAAAAATCTGAGGTTTTTGCAAGATCAAGGATTAACGCTATTTTAATGTGGTACTTTCTGTTTTTTCTTTTTTTCAAAAAGCTATGAGCTAATGACTATTGAGCTGTTGAAGTAATTTTCGTGTTTAGCTTTCGGCTTTCCAAGTAAATATTTCTCCAAGTCAGAGAAGTGCAGGAACTACGTACTGCGACTTAAGAAAAATTTAAAAGTCACTTCTCAGTTACTCTCCTATGGTTAAGATTTGGATCAAAATTTAAGGTAAAACATCTATTATTTTTACCTCTTCGAACATTCGTTTAGGATTCGGGATTCCGGCAACCTTTTTCCTTCCTCTTCTTGACGCCAGGTGTTGACCAGTAGTCAGCTGATTCATGGCAACCATTGCTGTTGAAGGTTGTTGTCCTCCTAGCTCTAGCATTGAGAACAGATCCAAGGGAACAGAACACATATTCGTCAAGGTTCGAACCTGAACATGATCATTTTATAAGTTTTTGCATGGTTTTCAGACAAAACACATAATTAGTCGGTATTGCAGAAAAAAAACTTAAAGCTTGAGTTTAAGAAAGAAACCGAACCCTGGGCTTTGCATGCTAAATTATTTTATAAGGAGCTAAAGAATTAATTGCCCATTTTTCACATTTTCTAACGGGGGTACAGAATTTTTCAATTTTTAATGCACATTACACATAAAAAATTCTTATAAATATATTTTTGCATAGCTAAAGATAGGTTTTTTCCCGGTATATTTAAACTATGCACTTGATGCACTATTGCCTAGATTCTAGCACTTTATGGAATCTGTAGAGACTAGATGCAACTATGCAGTGTATTTTTGACAGGTTGCATGCCTGCAAATCAAGTACTTTTATTAAATTCAGTAATGTATATTTACTTTTCTGACATCAGGAGATACATTAAAAAAGTACGTACTCTACATTTAATGGAAATATCTAATATAAAGCTATTTGTCAATTTCAATTTAAAAAAAAAACATTTCATCAATCATGAAAGGCAAAGTTCAAACTACTTGCAAAGTTTATGTAATCTATTTTTAATTTTACTAAAGTAAACTAGATTAATTTGTAAATTTAGCACTACATACAATAAAAAGATATTTAACTAAAAAAATTGTAAATTGCATCATGTGACCTAAATTAAACACACATGTGGCGAACTCATAGAGATTATGATTAAGATTATTTCTTTTTAACTTTCTTGATTCTTTTATTTTACCCTCCAAAAAAAATGTATTTTGAGCCTTAATAACACCCAGAGGCGTATTCATGGGGGGGGGGGTTGCTGTGGGTGCTCAGTCCCCCCTGTATCAGTAAAATCTAGAATTTCCAGGGGTTTTTAGTCCACAATAGGTGCTGAGCCTCCCCCTTGACAAAAAAATGTGAGCCTCCGTCTTGAAAAATTCCTGAATACGCCCCTGATAACACCCCGATCTTCTAAATTATTCTGAAGAGGGAAGAACAAAATTGTTGGTTGTTAAAATAAAATAATTTTTAAACCATATTTTGACATCAAGTGCACGCCTTGTTTGATAGTATGAAAATTGTCTAACGAACACAGGGAATAAACGTTGGTTTAATTCAGAACAGTAAATTTTATTATTAAATATTGATTATTGAATCCTATATTATACAATTTTACATTTTGTTCTGATATTGTAAAGATTCTTTAAGATTCTGGAAAAGGGAAGATATACTTATTTGAGGATTGCCTGTGTGCTTTTAATACCAAAAAGACCATAAAGATAGGATTATTATTTTGGTTTAATTACATTTTCCCGCCAATTGGAATTGGGTTATTTTTTCCGTCAAAGTTTTTTAAATTGTTACACCACACTTTAACTTTGTTGAAATTGACAACAGTACAAAAAACATATTTCAGTGAAAAATCACTTGATCGCAACGGAATATTTAGGAAAGTCAATATTTTTTTTATGTCCTATACAGTATTCAGGGCCGTTACTGAGGGGGCGCCCCCCCCCCCCTGTTGGAAATCGAAAACTATTATTAACTTGACTTGAAACCTGGTGGTCCATATTCAGCAGTGTGAACTATTAACTTGAGTCTAAAAGTCAACTTTCTCTTCCAGAGTTTTCTGGTTATCACTGTATTTCATTTATTCAATTATTTAACAATATCTGCCCTGATTCATTTTGCAAATCTTAAACTAGTTTTTTCTAGTTTTTTACATATGTGTTTTATATTATATAAATAAAAACATTATTTGTTTCCAGATATCATTGTTCATTTAAAATGCTGTGTTGATGACATTTCAATGATATGAAATTAACCAATGAAAAGGATTGAAGTTAACCAATGAAAAAGATTGAAACACTTCACGAATATAAGGTAAAAAAGTTAAAGATAGATAGATAAAACCAGAGATAATACTTTGATTGCCAAGGACAAGATGGGTTTGTATTCTGATTATCCGGACGAATAAGTTGGTGACCATACCACTAGATTGTGGTTGGAATATATACCATAGAGACGGATCCTCCCAACCCAGGGGTCATTAAAAATGATAAATTTAAACTATTTCCTATTTCATATGTTCTTATTCTACATTGCAAAAAGATATAAAATTCCCAACGGTACCTTTTTTAGCTTTGTCTGATCAAATATGGATTAGATATCAATGTTTATGATTTTGAAAAGAAATTATTTTCCATAATGGTTCTCTATACTTGCGCATTTCTACTGGAGAAAATCCTACAGGAATTATCAGAATTAAACACTGTTAAACCTAGAGAAAAATGACGTTATCTTTCTTATTATTATCAGATAAAGGTTTCAAAGATACAGTTTTGAATCGGGAATTGCTCTCTTAGAATGCAAAAATAATGTACTTTAAATCCTAACGTTTCATGAGCGATTGCCAATACACATTAACTTTTATTAAAATTATCCTTTTGACTAAATAAACATATTTTATTATGCTTTAGTTCAGCTTCCGGTAGATATTGTATGTATGTATATAAATACCCCCCCTTTACAAACATGTTCTCGAGCAAACAGGAAGTAAACGTTTGAATTTAGAAGTCTGTTTAATGTTTCCTGTATTTCATGCAAAAGGAGAACCATTTATATCCAGTTTATCTTGGGTTTTGTATATCCTATGTTTCATGTATATCCAGTTTATCTTGGGTTTTGTATATCCTATGTTTTTAAGTATAGCCAGTGTATCTTGGGTTTTGTATATCGGATGTTTTCTTTATATCCTCGGTAGTTTGTATATCCAGTATCCAGTGTTTTTGTGCCATATAAAATCTGTGTATCCTATATATCCAGTGTGTCTTTTGGGTTCTGTATTTCCTTTGTGTCCTGTATATGAAGTGTATTTTGTGTCTGTAAATCGTATACAATCTGTTTATCTTTTGCGTTTTCTGTATCCTGAGCATTCTCTGTATCCTGTGTACTCCCTGTATCCTCTGTATTCCCTGTATTCTCTGTATTCCCTGTATCCTCTGTATTCCCTTTATCCTCTGTATTCCCTGTATCCTCTGTACTCCCTGTATCCTCTGTATTCCCTGTATCCTCTGTACTCCCTGTATCCTCTGTATTCCCTGTATTCCCTGTATCCTCTGTATTCCCTGTATCCTCTGTATTCCCTGTGTCCTCTGTATTCCCTGTATTCTCTGTAATCCCTGTATCCTCTGTACTCCCTGTATCCTCTGTATTCCCTTTATCCTCTGTATTCCCTGTATTCTCTGTATTCCCTTTATCCTCTGTACTCCCTGTATCCTCTGTATTCCCTGTATTCCCTGTATCCTCTGTATTCCCTGTATCCTCTGTATTCCCTGTTTTCTCTGTATCCTCTGTATTCCCTGTATCCTCTGTATTCCCTGTATCCTGTGTATCCTGGATATGGTATGTAACTCTGGTTGACCATGAAACATCTTTATATGTTCTGAACCCAGGCTATAAACATTGAACCTGACCTTATGTTCACCCCTTCCAACATGCGTACTGCGTAGCCGCTCATACGCAAATTTTTTGCTTGCCTAGCATTCTGAGAGGTAATTACCAACATTCTGAAATGATGGGGGGGGGGTAATTGTTAGAATTAGGACAAGCATGGTAAAAACTTTCTTCCCTCGCCATTTTATAGTTAAAGTTATAATTTCACCCAAATTGAATAGCCCATGGTTTAAGAGCTTCATATTTGCATTCAGTTTCTTGCTTTGTTCATGGTTTAAAAGGCCATGCTTAAGGTTCAAAATACCAATTAAATAACAAGAGTTAATTTATCAGACTACATCAGGCAGTTCAAGGCACAAAGGGGAGAGGAGGGGGGGGGATGACTCAATAGTCAATACAAGACTAAAACTAATCGATTCCAATCATATAACGTTGTAACCAACGTAAAAACCGTGGGATACAGTTAAACTTTATAAGCTAGCGGCAAAGGAATAAGGCCCCCCGTAGGTCATTTAGTCAACTATACATCTTAAAATTAATTTAAAATTATATATTTCAGCCCCAAGGCCTACACCACCAAACTGCTAGGTATAATACAATCAGTATAGTCGGAATTAATATTGTTGGATTGAAGTACCAGTTCTCTAGTTCTCTGTGATAATTTTTTTCGTCACGATTATCATTATATAAACAATTCTAATTATAAAACCATTACACAAAAGAATACAGAAATAAACATGGATCTGAAAAGACGACATTACGGAGCTGAAATTAGGAAATAATTTTGCGATAAATACCTCTTTTGCAATCATCCGCATCTTCTCAAAGTTGACTAGGCCGTCCACCTTGCTGTGGTTCCCCAGGTGGATAAAGGTCAGATCCTTCTTCACGACCGGATAGAACGGGATGATGGGAGGCTGGACGTTCTCCGAGTTTACAAGGTTCCTGTACCTGCTCATGTTCCTGGAGGGGTCCATCAGCTGCTGCATCTCGGTAAATAGTCTTTGATATTTTGAGGGAAGTTTCTCCCAGGTTGATTTAAGCCTGGAGACGGAACCGTGACCCAGGCCGGAGATAATAGCGAACATGGAATTGAAATTCTGAGTTTCTTTGCACTGTCGAGCTATTTTTATAAATTGTTTTATTACCCGCATACGTTTATGAATGGATGGTTCGGAGACTATTTCAGAAACAATCCACATCATTTCACGGTTGACAAGAGCACTGAACGTAGTTAGGTTCGGTGTTCCATACTTGGATTTAATTTCAAACAAATCCTCGACGTATTCCGTCGCTTCAATCTGTCGGAATATGGTAAAATCCTCGACCATGAGCTGGGTTGAAACCTCAACAGGGTTCAGCTGAAGCATGGTTACATTTGCCTCCTTGAGTAGATCCTGGGCGCACTCGTCTGGGAGCAGAGCTTCAGATTCATGAACATTCTTGATATAATATCTGCTCGCTAGACCGATTCTCTCTGCTAGGTTCTTCAGCTGGTCAGGAAGGGTTCTTTGCTTTATAAAACCTCCTTCAGCAACACTAACCTCACATAGAGTAAAGTTAGTGCTAGGCTCCGTGATACCAAACTCCTGTAGAGAAAGCATCACTACTTCATGAGCACTTGTCTCCTTGTGTATGAGAAGATATTTAAAGGTTTGGTCTGCCTTGTAAACCTTGAGAACATGCTCCGGATACTCTGATCTATCCTCAGCACTGGTATCTCTGTGCTCCAGGTCGGATTTCAGGTTATTTACGGGGAACATACCGGCATTAGAGTTACAGGTTGATCCACCCGCCAGACTAATCTCCTCTACTAAACAACTCTCATGAGGATTCAAACTTTTCGGTTTACTCAGGAATTTGTGAAACGCGCGGTTCAGGAGTTGTTTAGAGCTAAGAGCTAGAAACCGTCCTCCAGCTCCTGATCCGTTCATCCCAACATACAACTCCTTCTTAGACTTATATACCGGGGCCGAGATATCATTGGTGTGTCCGTAGTTCTCCGAGGGTAGAGAACCATCTACACTAGACTCCAGTAGGATACTGTTTGCATATCTCCTGTTCCTCCCTGTCTTGATTGTATCCTCGGAGTTGATCATATCCTGGTATGCCAGGAGATTACTCTTCACTGTAATACTAAGATGGCAAACCCCCCGGAGTATCTCCGTGGCTCGACTGTACTTGATACTGTGTTCAAAACTCTGTCCGTTCACTTCCAGGATGTGATCTCCTTTCTTTAATCCGATCTCTTCAGCCTAAATAGGAATTCATTAATTTTTATGTTCGATTGTTTCGAGGTTTGTGAACATAGGTATAAAGTTCACTTATAAAAAAGTGAAAGAGTTAATGCATAATTATGTTTTGTTGTTTATAAATGTGCAGATAGGAGAGGGGGCCTTCCATATGATTAAGCCCCCTTAACCTTATTAAGATATGAATAAATTGAAAATGAATAGATTTATAGAATATGGCTGATTATAATAAGTCTGCAGGTTTAATATATGTATGAAGTAAGGATAAGGGTGGGTCCGGTTTATATTCTAGATTAACGATACTACTGAGTTGACCATGAATACAATATATAATTCTTAGATACTCTCAATACATTCCTATATTTAGATATATATATATAGAGAGAGAGTTTTGAGTTGAGATTTAATGTAACAGATGTTATTTACTCTCATAATTTACGTTGCTTTGAGAGTAATTGGGTAAAAAAATAAACTAAAAACCGAATTAATGAAAAGTTTGAGAAAAATGGCTGGTTTTGAAGATAAATGCAGGATAAAATAATTCTAATGTATCCTTGTAATTGAATGACCAAGGAGTTCTATAGAACTGTAGAACCGGGCGGGTTGGGTTGGTTTTCAAATTCTGCATTTCATTGAGAACTATTTTCTTTGTTTTAAACTTGTGGAGAAGGAAACGTTTCTTAAATTGGTATTTAATTCTAAACTCTGCAAAATAAAGGTTGAGATTTAATTCTAAACTCTGCTAAATAAAGGTTGAAATTTAATTCTAAACTCTGATAATAAAGGTGAAGTGAACAATTTCAATATGGACTTTTATACGAAAGAAAAAGTAGCTGTTTTTTCAAAATCTTTATATGATGTCTAGAACCTAATAATAAAACGGAATTATTGCATACAATTCAACTTTTCTTATCCCTTTATCTTTCCAACCTGATGGTGTAAACCTTTGATATTTAAATAAGTTTATCATAACATAACAACATAATTCATGGTTTGAAATATTAAAGGTCTAGGACATTGAGTTACAAAGATATAGGGATTTGAAAATTAGAGTTTTAGGCAAAAATTCAGATAGTGATTTAATACTATCATTTCGAAACTAGGAAATATTTTCCTATTTACATAAGATTGTAAAAATGTAATTATGACCATAAAAATTAATTTGAAATATAGAGTTGTAAAGAATGGGTTGGGTTACCTTTGATCCCGGTTCAACTTTAGAGATAAAGATTCCAAAACCTTTCTCGTATCCACCAACAATATAGAACTGTAAAGCTTCCTCGCGAGACGAGCGAGTCAGAGTAACCGTTCTTTTCCGAGCTTTCGCTGTGCAGGCGAAATTCAGCATTCTCAGTTGCCCCAACATTTTGCATTTCTCTAGTTCGGCTTCAAACCGTTCCAGGAAAGCCATCATCTTGGGGTCGGTTTCAAAGTCTGTGAAATGATTGTTAACCCAGAGAAGGAGAACCCGTGTAACCTTGTCCCGGAGAGATTGGTCCGCGAACCATTCCAGTAACTGGTTCGCAACTATCACTGATTCTTCTACAAAGGTTCGATGGGTAAGGAGAAAATCTTCTATGTACGTGGGATCAATAGTTGAGTTATCTTCAACTAGTTGGGTCATTAGTCTTTCAGGAATTCCTCTGATCACAATGTGACCTTTTCTTATACCATTGTCAAGAGATCTATGCTCCGTGATCAGGACAACTTCTCCGTCCTTCTCATGTCTCTTTTGATTCTCCTCTCCCTGATGGAGTATCCTGTAATAATCTGTCTGTGTTATACAAACAAACTGACAGTCGTCACATTTAGTTCTCATCATTCCTGAATGATAAAGTTTATCCATGGTCGGTGTAATACCGAAACTATCTCCTAGGTTTAGTTGTCTAATCTCTCTATCACTAGTTTCTATCTCAACCTGTCCATTGATTATAACAGACCAGGAGTCAAGTTCCTCTCCGTCCGTCATAACTATAGTTCCTGATTTTTCCACAACCGCAAACACCATGGTTGCGACCAGGGCTCGTCTTACAGAGAGAGTCATATTTGTAAACGCGTTTAGATGTTGAGTAAACTCTAGAAGAATCTCAATATCATCCTCGTTTCTATCCGAGGGATCTTTCTCCAGGCAGTCCCTCACTGCATCCCTCACTGTCAGATTTCCAATGGACTCGGATAAATCCTCCTCCTCGTCGGAGTCCACGACGGACTCCATCAGCCCAGAGAGATCCACCTCCTCTGTCTCTACGGAGCTCTGCATGCTGTGCATGGTATCGGAGCCGCTGTAGGCGGAGCTGGAGTCACTAGAACCTCTCATAGACTTGTAGGCGGAGTCATTGTGATAATCCCTAACAACATCGAACAATAAATTATTAATGCAAATGATTAGGTTAAAAAGAAAACGCCCGTTTTAATAAAACCATGGTCGGAAGTGTCGTAATTTCCGTAATTACAAGGAGCTTGTAAACAAATAAATCAATTGAGCTGGTTCCTCAATGAATGAAAAATGCAAAACTAAAGTCTAAATTAGTTTTGAGAAAAAGCGTGAAGTGTGTATACTGTATGTATAGTTTTAAATTGCATAGTTGAAGTATAAAGTAAACCACCCTAAATACAGGCACGCCCAATTTACACCTTAAGGTTATTTCTTTATCTTTTTATAATTCTCAATTTATAAAACAAAATAATCGGTGAAAAAAATCTGATTTTTAATGAAATGTTTGTTGTTCCTGTTGGATCTATGATGATCTATGAAGATATCGTTCCCGTTACCCCCGCCGCCAGTGTAGGACTCGTCCACGCTGTGTTCAACGTAGTTCTGGTTCAGCTTCCTCATCCCTGGATCCGACACTATCTCCGTCCTTCACAAAGAAAACCAATCTTCAACCAAAGTTCTCAAGATACCAAAGGTTAAAGGCATTAATTATTAGTTAACATTCTTATTACTTCCTCCCAGTGGTTCCAAGAGTGTCCCATTACAACAAAAGTATGTTACTGAAATTGAAGTATAAGTGTTTTGTAATCCTGTACTTGAGTTGAGGTTTTACTGGACGTAAGTATAGAAATCTAACCCTGAGCTAAGTCTTACTGGTTTTAACTACAGACACTGATCAGTGTTTACAGTTATGAAATACTAATTGAATTTGAAATTATTCCAAGATGAGATGGGCTGATTGAAACCTAATCACTATTATATTCTAATCTTGGATCATTAGATTACAACAGTATAGAATACAGATGTATGATTGCATAAATACAAGATATCCAGCTAGTTCAAGCCATTTCAAGCTATTAGATACTTTGTAGTCATCATTCAATACAGAATATGTACACTGTACAGGGTGTTTCAGAATGCTAACTCAGGTCTTTATTAAAAAAGTTGAATTGACAAGTTTAATATTTTTGTGTTAAAAAGTGTCTGTATAGTTTTAGACGAAGAGGAGACAGTTCTGCTCGTCTTTACGAACATAAATTCTTTAACGCCACAATATGTTCTATGAACCTTGAAAAAAAATACAATTTATTAACAAAAATTAAAAATTTTTAGACACCCAATGTCTGTGTTAACAATCACAAACTCTTTTTTGTTAATATTGTTAAGTTTAGCTTTTTCTAAATCTTGATTGAGCTTTGTAATAACAAAAGACTAGTTTTTAATTCTAAATTTTACAAGGATGATTCATCACTTTTAATACTTGTTGACAAATCATATCATTGTGTGAAAAATGTTATAAATTGTTTGGAGTGGAAATTCACTGAACCCTAAACACTGAACACTGAACACTGAATACTAAACACTGAACACTGAACACTGAACACTAAACAGTGAACATTGAACACTAAAACGCTAAACCGAGAACATTGATCACTAAATACAAAACACTGAACACCATGGAACACACCTTTATCATCGATTCTATAATTTGAGCAGATTTTTTCATCCTGTAGTATATGATGAGCCTTCAACTTTGTATATTTTAATATTGATGGTGTTTAATGATAAGAGGACGTGAGGTGTGTTGTCAGGGTGTAACTTGTGATAATATTATCTATTCACTAGAGCTGCTCTATAGTATATACTCGGATAAGATGAGATGGGTTTAGATACGGTCTATAGATAACATACTTTAAACCACATGTGATATCTGGGGGGTTTATGGTGGGTAATATTCTTTATTGCTATTATTAGGTTCGCAAAAAAAAGTAATAGGGATTTTAATAATAGAAAATACTCAACGGAATTGAGTCTTTATCACAAACTTAAATCTAATCCATATAACTGTGCAAAGTGCCGGTGTTAAACTTTTTTATTTCAAACTTATGTAGATTCTTTAATATAACAGAATTCATAGTTTATGGTTTGAAATATCAAAGGTCTAAGACATTGGGTTGCAAGAATAAACATCCGAGTTTGTGGCAAATCTTAATTCCTTTCGGCATATCAGAGATATTTCAAATACTATTTGAGAAATGATGATTTAAAGTTTTATGTCAAGATTGGTTCCTAGTTGTCATATCATCAATAATATTTACTCCTTTTCTCCCGTCTACATAATCAATCTAAACAAAATATTAATCATAAAAATAAATATTCGTTTATGGCATTAAACTTTAGATTAAAGGGACAGTAAAGGAAAAATGAAAGGGGGTTTAGGCTGAAAGCCAATCACTTTAGCTCTTGATCGCGACCCATGAAAGTTTTATCTGATCTCGAGAAACTGATATAAAACTGTGTTAAAATTATACGAAAATTCATATATGTAAAATTGTGAAAATCTAAAACTTAAATCACGTGACCAGAACAATCACCAATGGCAGAGCAGTATACTGGTCACGTGTCTCCGCCTGTATCACTTGACCTCTTTACTGCACTGCCATTGGTGGAATTTCTGGTCAAGTAATACGGACGTAAAAATAATATTATGAATGAAATCTATTGAAAATAGAAACAACAAAAATATAAAACTAAACCTAAATTACAATTAGCTTTCTCTGGGATATCATCGTTTTCAGATTGGTTGCTTATTTGCTGAATATGATCTGTTTAAACCTACTACTTTTATACAAAATTGTATATATATTAATTTTCGTATAGATTTGACACAGTTTTATATCAGTTTCTCGAGAGAGGATCATCAGATATGACTTTCATGGGTCGAGATCAAGATCTAAAGTGATTAGCTATCAGCCTATACCCCCTTTCATTTTTCCTTTACTGTCCCTTTAAGTTGGCCATTATAATCACATACTTTTATTCTGAAAAGCAAATGAATTCAAACAACAAATATAATGATTTTAATTCAGAATCAGAAAGAATATAAAAATACAGAATATTCTTGATGTATTTATCGGTGTAAAAGAACTGATTACTCACTTCTAACTCTAATTTCTAATCTCTATATCGTTGCCACCTGATGGTGTAAACCTTTAAAATCTCAAACTTTGACTGATTGATCTATCATGGAATTCAAAGCTTCTACGACATCATCGGGTTGGAAAGATAAAAGGATTAGAACATTTTTGTTTGAAGCGAGAAATTGTAAGAATTATTTGACACTAATATAAAACTCCTTTATTGAGAAAACAGCCACTAAAATATCTATAATTTCTGATCTTCTCTCATAAAAAATAGGAATAATCAATTTGAAAAAAGTATTTCTATTTTAATTTAATGTTTCTACTTTTTATTTTCTAGATAATTCTTTTTATTTGACTGAAGATGTGAACTTTTTAGTGTTTACAGCCCAACTTGAAGGAGTCGAGTGTTGCGAGTGAGGAAGGAAGGCGGAAATTGTAAAATGTTTTTTTAGTAAACCACTCCTTCACTCTTTTCCTGTCTTATAACTACAAGGATTAAGGAAGTCGAGAGATGTCATTTTTTAACCTTTTTCAAGATTGTTCACACAAATTCTTGTTCTATCCATTTATATAAAATTAAACTGCATTTTACTCCAAAGAAAGAAAGAACTTTTTTTTCAGACACAAAATATAAGATTAAAGTATAAATATTTTTGCAATGTGACAATTTTAAATTCCTAAATATATTTGAGCTAGAAGATATCCAATAGTATTGTTGTGTGAAGAAAATAAGTTAATTAATATTTAAAACTATTCTCCAAGCTTCTCACCACAATCATTTCCGATGGTTCGAGAACAAGGCACTCATGCTGGCGTCTAGCTGAGTCTCCGACCCTCTTGCCAAAACTGAAATACAAAAAATCGTAAACATCAAACTTGAGAAGAATAGAATAATTTACAACGGGTTCAGATTTCTCTACATATCTTACACACATCCTACACACTATCTTACACACATTCTACACACTATCCTACACACTATCTGTCAAGCTCACGTCCTCGTACATTCCTTGTACCGCCCTTGTACCGTACATACAATATGCGTCCGTTTATCGTTCATACAATATAAAGTAATGTGTGCGTACATTACACTGTATTTCTTCGTAAACATACTTAAATATATGTCTAAATAATTACATTTAACAAAGGTCATAATCTGATAAAGACGACAGTAATTTTTTGCATTTTTTAAAGTGAAGATTTCGATAAGTTAGAACTGTTAGATAAGTTGTTAAATTATCAAAACGTGTTCTTTTCTATCTATCCATACACTTTTACCCCGTTCCCCCTTTTTATTCTTTTATTGGTCAGTTAAGGGATTTTAAGTTAAAATGTTGAATTTAAATTTTTATATTTAAATCTACATAAATGATTATACAATATACAATGTACATACATATTACATGTAACATATCTCCTTAATTTACCCACTCCCTTAACATATTGCAAATTTACATACATACATATATAATCATCTCAACATTTTTATATATATATATATGACAGAATACACGAGCAAAAAGTTTTTAGTATGATTTAGAAACTTGATCCTAAACCCTGCAGTTTTAAACATATTCTGTTTCTACCTAATCTAATCCTGGAGAAATCCTATATCTTTAATCACAAACTCGCTCTTACACTGAGCTTGGATTAATTATGTAAATTCGTTAGAAAAGAAAACCCGAGACAAGTTTTCTATTCCGTCAACATTTCTCAGTCAAAAATGTTCACCATATATTATTGAGGGGTGAGGGGGGGGGGGTTGGCTCTTTAAAGGCCCTGCAAAAAAACAACTAGAAAGTGGTATATCTACATAATAAAACAAGACATTCGTATATATATATATGTTGCCTATAGCCGGCCAAACGGCTGAACTGATTGGGCTGAAATTTTTTGTGGACACTCCCCGTGTTAAAGGTTAAAAAATTCGAATTTTTTTTATAGGATTTTTTTCAACATTTTTTTCCACGGCCAACGCCGGGTCCTTCAGCTAGTACATAATAAAATAAAATAAAAGCAGTTTATAGTTAATGAGACGGTTTTGTTGAATTAACGTGTAGTTGAATGTAGAAAAGTAAATAAAATTATGAAAATATCTTCGATATCCCCTCTTTTTTTAAAATTTACCGTCAGAATGAAAAACGTCCCTTTTTTCTTAAATTGCCATTTTTAGAGAGGGTGTTGATGAAGTTGAAGTAAAAAAATAGAATTATTTGAATATATAATCTATGTTTGTCTGATTGTTTGAGTGTTTGGATGCCCTATCATAACTCATGAACCTCTTGTCCGATTTGCCTCAAATTTTGATCGGGAAACTCGACAGAACCACGGGAATGTTCTGAACCTGTTGAGTGTTTGATTTCTACTTGGTAAACCCCAGACAAAGCTGGTTTCCAAGTTAGTTTTAATCGTAAAAGCCGCTAAAGATTATTTGCAAGGTACTAATGCAAGGAAAGTTATTTCAGAGGTGAACGCATTTTGTACTGCAGTGTACTGTCTTTGGGCGGAAAAGTAAAGGCAAGACGGATGTCACAGCTCCGACTTGAAATCCATTTTCACAAAAATAATGTATAAAATATTCTGATCATAGGAAACTATTATGTGAATTTTCAAAATTATCAAAATTAAATGCTTTTATCCTCCTCGGATACTAGACGAACACTGATGCATCTATTCTTGTTTACTAATTCCGCCCAGAGAGAACTGGTTTCAATATGTACGCAGAGTGTACGCATCTGCAATTAACTTTCCTTGCATTAATACCTTGTATTATTTGTAACTTTTATGACTGGTATATTTATGGACAAATGACTAGAACTTATTTTAAACATATTATGTATCACAACTGAAAAATCTATAGTGGGATTTCTATGGATAGACAGCAATTAGTCCACTGTTTATTAGTTATCACTGTCCGCTGGCCCAGCGTAAAGAACTGGATTCATATTCTTAACAAATAGATTTATTACTAACATAACATTAACAATTTGTGAATTGTTCATGATTTCATTAATATACATATAATGTTATATAAAATATAATTAATTTTATAACTAAGTATAACACAAGTTGAACGCAACAATTGTAGAATATCACAAGGATTAAGTCTCTAGAGCTGACTGACAGTAATATTTACTTTCTCAATATTTTATAAATATTTTGACTTTATAAATAAACAAGATTTTAAAGGTTTTAGTTTTCTACACTACATCATGTGTAAGTTTTTGTTTTTTTATTATAAAAATCTCTTTTATAAAAAAATATAAAAGTAAATGGATAAAATGCCCTGTTTTATCTTTGTCCGAATTTAAAAATAAATTTGAATAAGAATGATTCAGTTTGAATCAATGAATGAAGGGTTAAGGATTATTCAAAAGGAATATAGGTTGATTCATCAAACAGTGTTCCAGCAATACAAGCAGTTAAGAAGCAAGCAGCAGTTCCGGAAATAAAAGCCCGGAAAACAACTTTGGAAAAATCGGATTTCCGTTGAGGGGCCAGAGAGGATAAGGTTGCTAGCTGTACTCCAATACTACCCGGATTAGCAAACCCACACAGTGCATAGGTTGCAATAACTGCGGAGCGAGGAGAAAGCTCTCCATCCTTGATGAGAATACCCAGCTCCCGGTAAGCAATAAACTCATTGAGAATTGTTTTTACTCCGATTAATCTTGCGACCTTCTCACAATCCTTCCACTCTACTCCCATACAGAAGGTTAACGGTATGAAAAGTTTACCCAGGATAGAATCAAAGGTGAGGTTTTCCAACCCAACCTGGTCTCCTAGGAATCCAACAACACTGTTCACAAAAGTCATAAATGCAATGAAAGCTACAACTATTGCAGTTATATTCACGACTAGGATACCAGCTGCAGTAGCACCCTGAGTAGCTGCATCCAACACATTAGCTTCCGTCGGAGGATCAATTTGAATATTCTCGGATCTGGTTCGAGATTTCTCCGTCTCCGGGTAGAATAGTTTAGCAAAGGCGAGAGCAGCTGGAGCAGACATCACGGATGCGGATACTTAAATAAAAATTATGATTTACAATTCAGAAAATGCATTTCTAAAATTGTTTAAATAAATTTGATTTATAATCCTGAATTAACAATGCGTGATAAATGCGGAGTAAACAAAAATACCTAAATGGGCAGATGACACACCAAAACTTATATAAGCGGCCAGAACCGTCCCAGCTATTGTCGCAAACCCTCCTGTCATGACAGCATGAATCTCGGAGAGGGTTAGGTCTGCCAAATATGGTTTGATTAGGAACGGTGCTGTTGCCTGACCCATGAAAATGTTTGCAGACGCATTAAGGGATTCACAAGCTGTAGTTCCAACTGTAGCCTGGAGTAACCATCCTAGCTTCATAACCAACCACTGTAGAGCTCCCCAGTAATAAAGCATGGAAACCAGGAAGCTAGAATCAGAAACCAAAACTTTAATTATTTAAATTTGAGAAAGTTTAGGTTTAATATATGCAGTGATACACTCACTACTTAACTTTAATTGGAAAACCTAATTAGAAATTAAGTTTAATTGTTTAAAACAGTTTTTTTTTTAAATTAAGTAAAAATGTTTTGATTAAATTCCTGAAGAAATAAACAGTTGATAGAGCCTTGAAGACGACCACCGTTGATACTGCATGGTTTCGGTTTATCTCCTCCGCAACCTCCCGAGCTATTGAGTTGTTTTCTAGTTTGTGTGGAAGAAATGGTTTCTGGTTTACAAGATATCCGAACACGAATGAGGATCCTGTATCTGTGAACCCTAGGAACGTATCAATCTTGTTCCCAAGACAGTTAAAGAACACTCTCCCGTACTCCCAGCGTAGAATGAGAAGGCCGAAGATGAACTGGAGAGAGAGCCCCCAGATGATGTGTCTCCAAACCACTCTTTTCCGGGATGTGGAGAAGATGAAACCTAGGAGTAGGATAAGAACTAATCCTCCAGCTGAGACTAACCTAGACCCAGAGCTCTGTTTAACTTTTATGAAATTCATTTGACAGCTGATAATTAGTCATGCTAGTTTGTATTTAGTATTTGAAAAATAGAGACTTTGAGTTACATTTGGTTTGTCATGGTTTTTCCATCATTTCCTTAAATATAAATCAGAACGCTCCTGTATCTATCATTCACAGTATCTACCACCAGAAATACGACGAATGCTGCAAACACTAGAAGTGTAACAAGGTAGCTGAAGAACCTATGTTTAACAACCCTCTCTGCTCTCTCCGGAACCCTGATCTTGACGTGGGATCGTTTATATCCCGGTTTGAGAATATAGAAGTAAAGGAGTGAGAAATAAACGATTAATGTGATGATTATCAGAAATCCTAATCCTCCGCACCAATCCATATCCATCCCGTTCACCTTGTGATAGTGAATAGCGTACACAATGTAGATATTATACAGCATAACTAAAACTATTTTCAAGGAGAGTTTCAGAGCAAGAGTGAGGTTGAACTTTCTCAGTTTTCTCCTAAACCTGCTTCGTCGGTTCAGTGTCTCCGAGTCCTCCTCAATCTGAACACTGGACTCTATTGAGTAACTAGGACGGAGTTTATTAACTTTCATGTCAATAGGTCCGCTCATACTGATCTCAGATTCACAAGTTTACTTCAAGAGCTAATTCATCAATACTGAAATGACCAGCTGGGTAAATGTACTTGAGGTCAAGGAGTACAACGAGGCCGACGGGTAACTGTGCGTATTGACGGCGCTGACTCCAGTGGATAACTAAACCAGTGAACACAGTTGGAAAGACGAGTAAAGCAACATTCTTTCTGAGTCCAGATTCAAGGTGAGATCAGTTCTGAGATCATCTACTCATCCTGGTTCATGCTCTCCCCTTCTCCTCACTACGGAAACTAAACCCAACCGTGCCAGCACTTTACTAAATCAACTTTATATTTAATGGTTGTTTCAACTAGAAATTAAGATATTTTGTCTGAAAACTTCTCTAGAAATTCCGCTTGGTTGAGAACCACATCACGCAATCCATGCTCAGCAGTTTTTTAAAAACATTTTTCTGAAGTTCTAGTATTTAATTGATACCATCAGTGTAGGTCTAGGTTTAAATTTCAAATAATTACAAAATTATGGAGTATTCAGTTTCAAACATAATATACTTGAGATAGGAACTATTTATATGAAGGGGACAGCCTGGGAGTAATTATAGGATATCCTTCCTCTTAAGATAAGTAGTGTATTAGAGTATCCTGGTATAGAACGGAATCGGAGGAAGAAGGAAGGAAGTATCGTTAAATCCTAGTGCTATGAGAGAATTGAAGGGAGTAGAGAAAAAAAGAATATTAAAGAACCAATGAAGATGATTTAACAAATGGTGCAACTAGGAAACAATTAAGTGGTGATGAGGGTTTCAGGGTTCAATATTCAGCTGAAATAAACATGGACAGAGAAGACGCTTGATATCCTTGAATAGGATTGAAGTAAAGAAATGGGAAAAACTTCCATACAAAAAATGGTGGAGGAATTGGAAAATAGGATGGATATTTTGGTAGGAGTAAAAAGAGAAGGATGGTTTATCCTTTCAGGATTGAAGAGAAGGATGGGATATCCTGGTAGGATTGAAGAGAAGGATGGGATATCCTGGTAGGATTGAAGAGAAGAATAGGGTATCCTGGTAGGATTGAAGAGAAGGATGGGATATCCTGGTAGGATTGAAGACAAGGATGGGATATCCTGGTAGGATTGAAGACAAGGATGGGATATCCTGGTAGGATTGAAGAGAAGGATGAAATATCCTGGTAGGATTGAACAAAAGGATATAATATCCTAGTAAGATTTAAGAGAAGGGGGATTGAATATCCTGGTAGAATTGAAGACAAGGATGGAATATCCTGGTAGGATTGAAGACAAGGATGGGATATCCTGGTAGGATTGAAGAGAAGGATGAAATATCATGGTAGGATTGAACAAAAGGATATAATATCCTAGTAAGATTTAAGAGAAGGGGATTGGATATCCTGATGGAATTGAAGAGAAGGATTGAATATCCTGGTAGAATTGAAGACAAGGATGGAATATCCTGGTAGGATTGAAGATAAGGATGGGATATCCTGGTATGATTGAAGAGAAGGATGAAATATCCTGGTAGGATTGAAGACAAGGATGGGATATCCTGTTAGAATTGAAGACAAGGATGGGATTGAATATCCTGGTAGAATTGAAGACAAGGATGGAATATCCTGGTAGGATTGAAGACAAGGATGGGATATCCTGGTAGGATTGAAGAGAAGGATGAAATATCCTGGTAGGATTGAACAAAAGGATATGATATCCTAGTAAGATTTAAGAGAAGGGGATTGGATATCCTGATAGGATTGAAGATAAGGATGGGATTCTTTGTAGAATTGAAGACAAGGATTGAATATCCTGGTAGGATTGAAGATACCCTGGTATGGGAAATAATATTCTTAAATTGATTTTAGAAATTAGAACAATCTTTCATAGCTTTTTTATATAAAAGAATGAGAAATGAAGGCACATGCTTAAAAAGAATGGGATATATGGCATGGAAAAAGAATAAATAAATATCCTGGTTATATGATGATATCTAGGTACTAGAATAGTAGTGGGACAGCTCAACTGTATGATATACACGGAGCAACTGGAGTCCTAAACGAATGCAGGATCACACCTAGCACTATCCTAACAATAAACCAAACCTTGGTGACATGCATATTAGCATTTTTCAGAATAAATTTTAATCCTTGTTTTATAAGTTTCAAACAATAACAAGAAGATCAACCAAAAATAAGTTTTCTTTATACAGATGTCTCTATTTAACATTTTTATTGTTTTATGGAAGAACTTTCATGATTGTAAATAAGAAAGCAAAGGAAAGAATAGGTAATTAGGTAGGATTAATTCCTTTTACAATTACAGGTTTTGTGAAGTGAAAATGGCAATAAGGGGAAACAAGAATGTCAAATAATTTGCTCTCTCAAGAGAACATGACAAAAAGAAGGGAAACAATAATACTGTACAAAGACTTGTGTAAAATAAATATAAGCTGCAATGCTTCCTGAAAACTGTAATACTCATAATAGGGAAAGAAAAAGTCATAATAAGTAGTACTTGAGCTCTAAACCTAGTACGAAGCAGAGAATCTACTGGAGCAGTGCTATGGAGACCCGGAGAGTCAAGTTGAACTCCGCGCTACTAGAATCTGTAATCAGAATAGATCGCGACCTATTCATGGATTTGAATTTGAAATCATACTTTCAATCAATATTTTTCAAAATATGTGACAGGGCCAACTCCGTGTGAGGGATCGAATAAGATGGATCGGGGGTTGAGACTTGGATAAGGAAGGAACAGGGAAGCACAGTAACGAAGCTATTTGGAGAATAGAAGGAATAGATCTATAGAAAAAAGAGAGTATAGATCTATACTTGGAGAAGAGAGGGGATAGATCTATACTTGGAGAAGAGAGAGGATAGATCTATACTTGGAGAAGAGAGTGGATAGATCTATACTTGGAGAAGAGAGGGGATAGATCTATACTTGGAGAAGAGAGAGGATAGATCTATACTTGGAGAAGAGAGGGGATAGATCTATACTTGGATAAGAGAGGGGATAGATCTATACTTGGAGAAGAGAGAGGATAGATCTATACTTGGAGAAGAGAGAGGATATATCTATTCTTGGATCTGTAAGAGGAAGGAGATATCTATGCATAGTTAGAGAAATTTGAAGCAATCATGAATCGTGTAAGACTTTGTTGTGCCTGCAGAAAAAAAGAATGAGATGTTCCGTTGCCTTTTTTATGTTTTGTATTTTATTATGTTTTGCAAGTTTGGGCCCAGGCCTACTTTAGTATTAGGCAGTAAACTAGCGACACAACTTATATTTTGGATGGATTGCGAGGTACAGGGGGGGGAGGGGGTTACAAGGTTCAAGGTTGTGTGATATCACTAGATCCAAACTAAATTCTAATCACGGATCTATTTCCCCCATGCTCCACTCATCCAGAAATTAACCTTCCACTAAGGATCAGTTCCTTATTGCTCAATCAGCAAATCTAACGCTTTAGTGACTTTAATATCGATGATTGTTAATAAATCTAGTAACTGTAATATCAATGATTGTTATTCAAACTTGTAACTATAATATCGATGATTGTTAGTCAATCTAGTAACTTTAATATCTATGATTGTCAAAGACTGTAATAACTTTAATATCGATGATGGTTAATCAATCTAGTAACTTTAATATCAATGATTGTTATTCACACTTGTAACTTTAAAATCGTTGAATGTTAGTCAATCTAGTAACTGTAATATCGATGATTGTTAGTCAATCTAGTAACTGTAATATAGATGATTGTTATTCAAACTTGTAACATGATATCGTTGATTGTTAGTCAATCTAGTAACTTTAATACCAATGATAGTCAAAGACTCTAATAACTGTAATATCGATGATTGTTAGTCAATCTAGTAACTTTAATATGGATGATTGTTAATTAAACTAGTAACTTTAATATCGATGATGGTTAATTAATCTAGTAACTTTAATATCGATGATGGTTAATCAATCTGGTAACTGTAATATCGATGATTGTTAATTAATCTAGTTCCTTTAATATCAATGATTGTCAAAGACTCTAATAACTTCAATATCGATGATTGTTAGTCATTCTAGTGACTTTAATATCGATGATGGTTAATCAATCTAGTTACTTTAATATCGATGATGGTTAATCAATCTAGTTACTTTAATATCGATGATTGTTTGAAATTATCTCTATGGTAAGCAAAAAAAGCAAAGAAGCTTTGAGCTGTATACATTTCTTCAGGATAAAATTACTCCTATTTGAGACAAATGTAAAGGGTTATTTATATAATTATCAGCACGACTATTGAACCCTGTAACTTTGCCAGTTTTTGTTTTCAACCAAAACAGAGAGATTCAAATTTGTTTGGTTAAATAAAATGATTTTTTAAAATGAATTATCAATAGATCTCTGGTACTAAATATGGGTTTAAAGTGTGAGAAACTTAAACTATAAAGCAATAAACTTTAGTTAAGAATAAATCTTCTAATTATAATTAAATTTTATTTAAAATGATTATGATGAGTTTTATATTCCCTTCAAACAAACTGGTGTCTGTCTTTGAGATGAACAAATCCTTGGAAGAATATGAAGGAAATGAAAAGGAGTAGGGGGGGGGGGCTAATGCTCAAATCTGATATGTCCGAATGAAATCAAGAACTAGGAAGAGTTATGTCCAACTCTCACTAATAATTTATGAAACTGCAGTTTTATATTGAGGGCAAACTTTAAATATTTCTTATCTCCTGAAATATATGCCAAAACTAATAAAACATAATATTTCGACCCTGCTTTACATATGTCTCTTTGTTAGATGTAAACTGAGAACTGAGAAACCCCGGTTAAATCTATAATCTTCAATTCTGCCGTCTTTGAAAGTGTATCAGAGCATTGAATAGGTAGTCCCCCCCCCCTCACCCCTCTTCTCAGCCCTACACTTTCTCCCTGTCCAATTCTCTCTCCACTAACCCCCCTGCACAGGAATTTCAGACTAATAAATACGCATCCTACTTGTTCCTGGCTAATATACGCATCCTACTTGTTCCAGGCTAATATGCAACCTACTTGTTTCAGGCTAATTTTTTATACGCATCCTACTTATTTTTAAAATGCTCTTCTATCTTTATTTGCTCCAGACTAATTTATATACGCATCCTACTTATTTTTAAAATGCTCTTCTATCTTTATGGAATAGTTTTAGCCAAAAGCTTTACGAGTGGGAATTAAATGTTTTGGCAAGTGCATTAAATGTACGCATTACGCATAACAGAGAGAGGCTAATGTACGCACTGAACGCACTAGTATTCTTCTGTGTCCGTTGTTCTACAGTTCCCACGACACACCTTGAGAATTTATTGAGCACAAGAATTCAACCTATTCAGTCTTCCCTCTGTAATGGGGTTGTTAATTTCAAAATTTACAGGTTTAATATAAACCTGATAACCTGCATCAAATCATGAATTCATCCCGACACTTATTCCTTTCTTTCATCCCTAAACCTATATTCTACTCATCCAAGACTTGATTAGTTTCTTTATTTTTTTTGTTCTTTTAAAACTCTAATTCTTCTTTAATTCTTACTTTAATTTTCTCATTTTTTTATTGCTATTCATAAATAAGTTATAAGAAACCATGCAGGTGTGATGTTTATATCTAATAGTCTGGTAATCTTATAATCTTATAATTACTGTTCTACCCCAGCTCGTGAAATAAACTCCCCTTATTGTATTTTTGCAGACTAGGTTTGAATATATCTAATCTATATAATTCTACACAAAGCTTGGAACAGAAACCATACCCAGTTGTCTGGCCAAAACACCCTGGGGTTACATTCTTGGATAAAAGATTGTTGATAATACAGGGAGATTAAACAAACTAGAAACCTGGGATTCGTCATTTTCAATAAACTCACTTAAAAAAGTAATATTTTAAAAAATAAATACACTGCAAAAAATATTTTTTCGAAAATGTAGTTTGAATCAAGAAAAAACATTGTGTTCGTAATTCTCTTTTGTCTCATGTATTTCGTGACCACCTGGACAAAGGATAAAATGCAGAGGAGTTCCAGCTTAGCTGAAAACCTGTTTTTTCATATTTGTTATAAAATGTAAACAACTGTTTGTTCATCTGTGTCTGGAATGCTACGCATTTTTAAGCATATATCTGGCCACCCCCTCATTTTCATTAGATAAATTTTAAGCGCACGGTTCAATCTCTTTCTATCTTTCTCTATCTCTCTCTCTCTAGTTGAAGTGGGCAATTAATCTAATCAACCGAAGTTGGCGACTCAGTCCCAGGGTGGGGGGGGGGGGGGGTATCTGATTTGTATTAAAGTAGGAAGCATACTTGAAAATAATCTTGAAAACTTGACTAGCTTGTTAAGTATGCAAGGCAATAATAGTTAATGAAGGTATAAAATGTCCTAAGTATGCCTGCATACAAGACTCTGCGGCAGGCAGAAGGCAGAGGGCAGCTGTAAATTAAGATCTGCAAGGACAAAACTGTCGTTAAACGTATTTTAATATTATTAAAACAAAACTTATCATCATATTTCTCAGAACACTTTTCAATTCAATTTTCATTATTCGTTTTTTTCATACCATCAAATATATTTCAAGCTAAGATTGGGTTTACTTGAATCTTATTATATCTTATTACTTTCTATCTTATTCTCCTTTTATCTTATTCCTTCTTTCACTTCTATTACATTATATTTTATATTCCTTTCTTTCCATTACATCGTTTTAAATCTTACCCCTTCCCCCCCCCTTCCCCTCCCACGTATGATTTAAATCTTATCTGATAAGTAAACCATTTTATTGCTGAACAAATAGTTTCGTGTTTTAAACACTCCTCACCCGATATTTTTCCCTTTGTTTACATACAAGGAAGTGTTGATATAAGGTGGAGAGTAAGGCTATAGATAGAGAGATATGGTTATACAGTGTATAGACATATATTGCAGAGACCTGACCAAGGTTCTGCAAACAATAAGATCATTTCCTTCCTTGCAGTGCAGAGATAAAACAACTTCCGGTTAATCACGTGGTTTTCCATTATTTCCGCAATTTTTTCTCCGAACTGATACTTTGCAAATTTTTAGTTTTTGTAATACATTTCAAGTTTTAATCCTAGTTACTAAATAGTCCCGTTTTTTGT